GTCACATAGAAGCGGTCATCCAACCTAACTGTTTATAATACATCAAAAAATAAATATATCTAACATAATTATAATAAAACTAAAGCAAAGTCAGATGTCAAAGGAAATAAAAAAACACGTCGACTTTTTGATGGACTAACATTATGCGAGAATTTCTCAATAATGTTCAACAAGGCATGCCATCACAGAGAAACTAGTTCTGGAGTTGTGATTATAATGTAGATATACAATAATAAATATTTTGTTCAATACCTATTTTCTAAATCGAGACCGGTTGTGTGAACGGATCCTGTTAAAACTATGAACGAAGTTTATTGTTGACACGCAAAATATAAAGAAGTACCTACTTAACCAATTTATTGAATAATTAATCTTCATAATAACGTTCAAGAAAAGTGCGTAGGTCCTTTTTAAAAGGCCAGCAACGCGCCTATGTTACCTCTCTGGTGCGGGTGTCCATGATGGGCAGCGCTGATCCGTCATCAGGTGATTCGTAAGCTGGTTTGCCGCCTTTTCCATAAAAAAATGGAATGTGCTTACCTGTATAAAGCCTATAAAGTCTTCTTCTATTATATGTAAGTATGTGTGTTGGGAAGTATAGGGGAGTACCAACTGAGGATTATTCTAAAGGTGAACGAGAAATGCATGGCAGGATTTGTGATGTATGTGCAATTTATAACAGGCTTTTTTGTGAGGGGAAAATGATCAAATGACTTGTCTCGCCCAGGGCCGGCGGGATGGAGTGTCAGACTCTTACTGACTAAAAACCCCCCTGTTCCTTTTTCTGCTCCGGGCTGAGGTCGCGGTGCCTCATTGCGCTTACCCCGCAAAATTTATAACAGGCTATGGTGGCCCATAAGTTAAGGCGCCTGCTTGCCTGAGAAAATACCAATGTGTCTTTTTCCAGAAAAGCGTAGGTACTTTTTAAGATTCTTTGAAAATAACAAACAGCGAGCATGAATGTCTCGAGAAAACCTGGACTTATAATGTCTAGTTATGAATTTATATTACCAAACCGCCTTGAGCAAGCATCGCTTGAGATCTTTGCTCAGCAGTCCGCACATATAGGCTGATGATGTGTGATGTGACAATTTATTAGCCCTTTCTTTTTTCTGACCCTGAGTAAATGGAACTGGGTAGTTTTTAGTCAGTAAGTAAGTCTGTCTAACCCTCGCGTCCAACCTACAATCCTGGCCAGAGGTCACCAAATAATCTCAAAATCTTTTTCTATCGTCACGATTACCTATTTCATTAATAAACGAGCTACTGCTGCACGATTTCACCCGCTCCTCGAATCCTATTGGTCGCAAGGTGATGTTTTATAGCGTAATACACTCAGAAACATTGTAGCTATCTATCAGTGAAAGAATACGGTAGTTTACAACTAGGTAGTTAAATACAATATTTTTGTACATATAGGTACTCCAAATCCGTGCTCCAAATTATGACATCATAGTATTTTTACGCCAAATAGCCTACTAATTACTTTCTTAAAAATTACGTAAAAAATATCGAAAGTATTGTGTATCGACAGATCGATGAATAAAAGTAGATATTATTCAATATTTTATTGAATTGAATCGTCGTATTAATGTATTTTTTTTTAAATACTTACATTAATTTAAAGCCGTGCGACTGGCGGTTCTAGGATTACCCCCTTCATACCTAGAAACTCACAAATTATACCTCTTTATAATATTAGTACAGACTACAGAGCCGTTATCAGATAATTAAAACCAGACTTCGATGCATCATTCATTACCTCACAGCAACAGGTCCCCATACTGTTACCTGCTACGTAAAATGTATGACTTTCTTTTTGACACGCGTGCCGACTACCACGTAAATGTCAACTAGTGATTACCAACAGGTCTTCGCATAAATAAATCAGCATGTATAGTGTATGGTAGGTACTACATGTGTGGTCATTTAACTTTTTTAAATTGAATCTGTGGTACGACTAGCCTCGCATCTTTTGTTTTTTTGTTATGGCGAAGAAAATCCTATAACGAACGAACGCCCCTGGGCCCCTGGGCCCCTGGAGCCCCTTATGCACCTGGTTTAGGGCACCTATTATTTTTCTATCGTCGAGGCGCCCCGCTTTTTGTGGATAAAAAGTAGGAAGTTTTGAATTCCTGCGTCATTAAAATTTTAATAAAATAGTTTTAATTTATTTCTGTAGGTACTTAGCTCTAGTTCTAGTCTTAGGTTAAAGTATTGTTTTGTTTGTTACTTCCTATTTCTCTTTTTCTTGTAGTTTTAGTTTGTCACACAGTGTCTTATATTATTTTTTTCCTTTCGAAGAACTGCAGGAAGAGATTCCCATATAAGAATATGCAGTTCCTATGTAGGTACCTCTGTTTCTGTATTTGTTCTCTTTTTAATGTAGGTATGTGTGAAGTTGCATAAATAATAAATAAATAAATAAAACCACCCCGGTGGTTACTCCCAGCACTTTTAGTTAAAGAGCACCAGGTTCACATAAAATGCTACCCCAAGGAAATCTTCCGGCGATACCAAACTTACACCATTTAGAAAAAGAAACAATTCCTATCTTTTTCTAATTAAAAGAAAGAACTCCCGTTTTCTCTCAAGTTGCTTAGGGGTTTGATTTACACTGGTCAACAAAATTTCAACTTTGTCGTGCCACATGGACTTTTTTGATATTTTTTACTTTAATTGGTGATTGTAATAAAAAATAAACAGTTAAAAAACATTTGCTAGACAAAGATTTTATTCTATTGAGTAATTTAAAATATTAAGAAAAAATACGGATCTCGTAAATCAAAAGTTTATTTTTTTATAAATGACTTAGAAAATCTAAGATTTTCTTGAATATTTAGCTTCTGGTTGGTCCCTTTTAATTGTCCAGCAGTAATCTGCTAACATATTTGGGCTCCATTTGCCTTGGTACCGCTTTTCCATATCAGAAATATCCTGATAGAACCTCTCGCCGTGCTCGTCACTGACAGCCCCTAAATTGTCAGGAAAAAAATCCAGGTGCGAGTCTAAAAAATGGATATTAAGTGACATGTTGCAACCTAATGCTTGATATGACAATAACAGCTCGCTAACCAACTCTCTGTAGCTGTCACTCTTGTGGTTACCCAAAAAATTTGCAACAACATTTTTAAAAGACTTCCATGCTGATTTTTCTAAATCGCTTAATTTTTCTTCAAATCTTGAATCTTTTATTAACTCCCTAATTTGAGGGCCAACAAAAATACCCTCTTTTATCTTTGCATCACTTACACTTGAAGTAGACGGTTGTGAATTGTCGTTCTCAACAGACGTAGTTGCAACTGGTATTAGTTCTGGCAATTTTTTACAATGAGAGACTGGTCTTATAGCCGAAGATAAATTAGGGTAAATAACTGTGTTTTTTTTTCTTGTAATTTATACCTTTTACGTCAGTGAGACAAAAATAGCAATCTGAAACGTGATCTCGCTGTTCAGTCCATATAATGGGTACAGCAATCGGCATAGGTCGTGCACCTTTTTTTCAGTCAGTTAAATTTTTCACACACGTTATGCAACAGACATGAGGGGCCCAGGATTTGTCTTGATGGGCGACAGAAAAACCAAAACATTGGTGATAACACTCCATCACAAGATTTGTAAAATTTCGTCGTTGTTTTTTGAATGTAAGTTCTCCGCAGACATAACAAAAACAGTTAGGATCATTAATACAATTCCTTGACATGCTCACAGGGTAAATAAATCCCAAAAAAGTGTTCAAATTCAACGATAAATATTTTTATAACGATTTACTTGTAAGCGTTTCTGTTAATTTACTGCCGTAGTACTAGTTAATGAGTATTACCGTATCACAACAAATAGGAGGCTAATTGACATATGGCAACTGTGATTTAATAATGAGGGTAGATTTATAAAACATAATTAGCTATCAAAGTTCGTGTGGCAAAACCAGTGTTGACCAGTGTTTATTAATCTAGAAAGCCAACACATACTTACATATACTTAGTAAAGTTTGTTTCACAAGTACCAGAAATCTACATATATAAGCACTTAATCTTTAAATTTCTAAATAGGTGAAGTCAAAGAGGCTTCACTTTCGTTCCCAGGCTAGGTGAACCTAAGTTTATCGGTGAACGCATTAGGTTAGGTCATAGAAAATATTATGTTTGTGACATAGGCCTACCTACTATAATTGTATAATAATATTAAATAAAATTTCATCACCAATTGTTTTTCTAAACGTAAAACAAAGCTCAAATGCGTACGACAGACTAAACTATTGTTATTTCAGATTATTTATAAACAAGCTATCTAATTTCTTATGCGAACGCAAAGATAGAATAGTAAATATCGCAGTTGGTTTTACAATCGGTTGATAGAAATGTGTGGATTAGTTGGATGTTATAAATAATACTGCGATTGCGAAGGTCTTCAGTAGCCCTCCAGCATTAGTAACAACAGCATTAGTAGACAGTACACAACGTTGTGTTTCGACGCGTGAGTGAGGTTACCGGAGACCCAATCCTTCCCCTCCCCAATCCCAAAATCTTCAAAACCCTAATCTCCAAAAGGTCGGCAACGTACTCGGAACTCCTCCGTTTTTACGGGTGCCCATGGGCGACGCTGATTGGTTGCCATCGGATGATCCGTCTGCTCGTTGGCCGTCTAAAATATAGTAAGTAAATAAGAAGATTGACAAAAAAAAAACATCACGTCGATACCCCAAATCGATATTTTTCTTGCGGTGATAAATTATTAATTTATTTCTTCTCATCAATATTTTTAACTGTTTTATTCTAAAAACCAAAGAAAAGTATTTTTATAACATTACAAAAATAAAACTTTAAAGTTTATCAAGAACGAATTTTAATTACAATTTATTTTATTATTTATGTCTGTCGACAGGCATTGACAGAGCAGAATTGAACTGGCCTAAGTAACACCACCCTGAAGCAAGGCAAGGGTGCGCGTGCGTCAGTTCACCCGCACGCCGACTTCCTCCATATAAAACGAACGCTCGGCGCAAACGCATCAGTTTGTGACGACTCCCCCAGACACACACTACTCACGGTAAGTGAAATTACCTTCTTATTATTTTTTACTAACCCATAACTTATCAGTGATCTATTTAATTCAATAATAGAGAAAATAGCTTAGTGATTTTCGAAAAAAAAAATTATGTGCTGCCCATTTTTTTCAATTTGTTAAAAAATATTTTAAAAATAATTAAATATCCCAAAATAATTATATAGTAACCATTTTAACTTTATTATCATAATTTATGTTAAAAAGGTTGCTGGCTTTATATGGATCGAGGCAATAAAGCTATAATCGAGTTGGAATCGATTAATTTATAGGAATTTTGTAATGATAAGCCTCGGGAAGTGTCGAGTGGAATGAACTTCAATTAGTCCCGGACAAGGTCGCTTTCTAACATAGGACCGGTCTGTAATCCCGGGATCTTGCGCAATCATTCCCGGGTCTGTTTGTAAACAACTGGCTAGTCATATTTTTAAAAGTGTGTGAGAGCGCGCTTTCTTTAAAACTTATGAAAGGTATTAACATTTTTCATATGTGTTTGGAAAATAAAAGATATGTAAGAGTTTCAAAAGTGTCAAATACCTAATTAACTCGGTCTTTACCGTGTTTGGAAGGTAATTAAGACACATTAAGATAATGGTTACCTCGTCGTCACAAGTAAAAGCTAAAAGAAAATTTCTGCAAACTATAATAGGTACCTACGTGACTAACATGTGCTGTCGAAAATGTTGTTTTGAAAGTTTTTTTTTCAGAATTCCTAAAAATAGATTTTTGTACAATTCATGTTAGGATTATGCAAGCAGACTTAGCTATAACGTTGAACCAATGTAGTTTTTTTTTAAATTCTAGTTACGTTAGTAGCATTAGTGGAAGGTCTTGCAATGAAGAATATTCTCTTTTCGCTGGTTCCGTATCTAATGGCCAAGGACTTATACCTACTTGTCCTTCAGAATAAATCTTTATAACTAGACCTTATTCTTTACGAACTTGGAGCAAAACTATCTTCTTCTTCTTTCTTATATACAAAAATGAATTGCTGTTCATTAGTCTCGCTAAAAGTGGAGAACGGTTTGTCCGTTTTGGATAATGTTGTTTTAAATATTCGTTGAAGTCCTGGGCAGGTTTAAAAGATCAGAACATATACTTAGTTACTTACATTTAAGGCGGTACGGAGTTCGCCGGGTAGGCTAGTTCATTATAATAATGAAAAATAAATAAGCTTTAGGAAATATTTCTCCAATTTAGTTCAAGTCTTAGAAAGCGCTTCTCTTTGTCGTGACATACCTACATGCTTGATTAATTCAAGAATTAATATTTTGTCGTACTTATTCGATTGAACCTTGATCGTCATCATTGAAGATTAATTCTAAGAAAGTTCCGGGTTCTTGTAATTTTGTTTTATTTTACTTAGCACGTTAAATAACTCCGTAGGTCCGTGACCTTTGTGGGTTTTTTTATAATAATATATCGTAGGAACGTTGGGCAGGTATTATAGCACAAAATTAAATAATTGAAAAAACCTGTTCTTCAACAAAAACTGGTCCACACAGTTAGATAGCATTCTTGTAAAACCTATTGGAGACAATAAAAATATTTGTTGTTACTGCCTCGATTCTTCTCTTGATAGAGGATTTAGTGAAGGAGTTTTTATCGGATAAGTATCATGATTTAAGAATTAGCGAACAAAAAACCATTGTTTTAAGGTTAGGCAATATTGGTAGGTAGATATTCACACAAAAAAAACACCTTTTGTTAACATCGACGTTAGGGTCAAGTAGACAATCAGGTGGATATGACATCATGACTGTAACAGGGTTCTTTTTCTTACCCGGATGAATAGATGCGTAAGTAATAGAAACACACAACTGCTTATTGTTATGCGAAATGACTCGTTAGCACTTTCATAATTAGTTAATGGACGTAGTAAAATATTTTACGACTATGTAAACGATGTAAAATGGTGTCAACGTGTGCGTAAAACTGGCTGAATATGCACTAATGATTTATTTATTTAAATATAATGCAAAATGTAACTTTGATAATATCGTCACTTACATTATTAATTTCTTTCTACAAGCCAACGTTATTTCTCTATGAACATTCGTAATTGTTAGCTCTAAATATACCAACATAACAGAATGGCGAGCAGTAGCTAGATATTACCAGGACTCGAAGGACCTTCACCTTTCCTTTTTCTTTAGCTTTATCAATAATATACAATTTTGTTGCAGAAAATGAAACAGTTGGTGTTGTTAGCCCTTTTCGCGGCCGCTGCGCAGGCGCAGTTTCTAAACGGGAGGATCCTGGAACCTCCCGTGCCCTCACTGTGTGTTCAGAGGACCATCCACGAGAGATATGTGGACAGTAAGTGCATTTTCAAAAAGTATTTAATTTGCAGGGTTAGTATACACATTCGGATTGGACGACTAAAAACGAGCTAATACTTATTGTTTTTGGTCAGTTTTTTTTTATTAATTTTGGTTCTATTTCGATTTACGCCTTAGATAATGGACAAGGCTTGTGTTTGACGTAATCCAAACTCATTAGTAATATATTTAAACAATTAATTTAACTCCATATGCTTAATAGTCTCTTCGATGATGACCTCTATAAAAATTCCATTCGATCAGCCTATAACATCCTATTAGCTTACTGAGGTCGACTTACCCCATAATTTATCCATATTTGGCAAAGATCGACCCATTTATATCCAGAAAACATTTTACTGAAGCGAAGTGAGTAATGATTATTGTAATTAAGCAGCGAGTTGACTCCGGAAACCTTCATTGACAGTTTAAGCGAAGGATATTTTTTGTAGGTACTAATCGTTAAAAATTCCTTAACTCATCTCTCATCACTTCATCAGCAAAAACTTGAAATCAGTAAATTTATGGAATAATGAAAAACATTCCCGTTTTACTCTTTTAAAAGACTTTTATTACGTTTAATAAATATTTCTGAATACTAAGTGTATTTCTGTGCGAGCACGAGTGTTTGTAAAGCAAATTAATGTAAAAATAAATGGAAGCTTTAAACTTTAAAGAAAAAAAAACTCCGCCCGAATCGACCGTATAAGACGGAGGCTTTGCTGCATTATCTTTCCAGCAATTCCAAGCGCAAGCGTGGCTGTTTAAGCCTATGACTAAGATAACATTAGAAACCCGTGACTCCTGTCATAGGAACTCATCTAAAAGGTGCAAGCAGTCTTATCTCTCATAGATAAGGTGAAACCGGTCCGTCATACCACCATGCGCCTGCGCAACTAGAAATACATGAAATTCTTATGATATCAGTAAACAGTGGAACTTCCGCGTGCAAATAAGCTGCAAGTTATGTTATATGTCAGAAGTTTTCAACAAGTTTTGTGTTTTTGTTGAAAATATAATGTGTTTGCGAATTTACGTTCAATTTGCATAGTAGTGTAGGTATACCTAACTATTATTTTTCAACGCTAATTCCTCAGTAGGTCAGTTGATATTTATAGATTCATTTTTAAAATGTCTTTGTTGCATCCTGTTCTATTAGTCGTATCGTATAGTTAGCAAGTTTCTTCAAAGCAATTAAGTTTTTTGCTTCAGCGCTTTAGACTGAACCAAAAATATTTTGTGCAAATAAACATATAGTTGATGTTAAATTTTCTCTTCTTTCTTTTTCTTTTCTTTCAATTAAAATATGTTGAAAAATAGTAACGTTTATCTTCTATAGCATTCATAGCAGCTTCAGTCATTCCATAGTTACGAATAAATTTGTTCGTCCCTATTCAACCTTTTGAGACCATATTCAATGTAGAAATCTACCCACAATGTCTATTCTTAGTACTAAACCTACCTTTGAAACCACATCAATCGTCACTTCTTCCGTCAGAATATCGAAAGCGAAGATTTTCTATCCACCATTATTTCCCACGCGATTCACGAGTAATATCGCGAACTATTGTTGTGCGGAAGAGATCGAAACATCGAATCGTTTGAAGTGCAGGGGTTATGTAGAGTTATGACTGTTGTCGTCTACACATACAAACAATGTCTGACACCAAATTCATAAATGAAATACCTGGGGCTAGCTATCCTCTTACCTACAGTAAAAATTAATAAACGGAAATGTCTGAAATAAAGATAGTCTTAAGTTCTAAAAATTTCGATTTCATAGGCTTACCTAACCTAATCAGCGGTAGAGCAGCAACAAACCATTAGATTTTTAACACCATTCAAAATTACGTAGGGCCTCAGCTAACATAAAATTGTTACCTTTACCTTGATGTAATAGGCGTTTACCTAATAGGCGTCTTGTAGGTATTAAGCAGAATACCTGCTTATAAGTACGACTTTTCTCTTCGAAAGTAAGTTCAAGGGTCAAATTGTATGTATAAATAGGTCCTAGTACTAATAGTATCTTTAAATAGATCATTGTATTGGATAACGGCACTCACTGTAGTAGCTTACAGAATTGCGCTTTCTAAATAGATGTATTTAAGTCCTTACAAGTGGAGTTGTTTCATATTTTTAATCGAGTCGACAAAAGTTCTAAGATGGCCTTATAACAATGTTTTTCTCTGTTCAGACAAAGGCTACTTCTTCTCATGGAGAGACCCCGCTCTCCGCGGCGTTGAGGAAGACTGGCTGAGCGCCAGAAACTACTGCCGTCAGCGTTGCATGGACCTCGTGTCTCTAGAGACCAGCGATGAAAACGAGTGGATTAAGGCACGCATCGTACAGGACAAGGTAAAATAACTACACTTTTACATTCCATTAATTAAAACTGGTAGACGTTACTAGGTGTCCATAAGCAGTCCGAATTGCTTAACAGCATGGGAAAAAAACAACTAGGTAATAATTGTACTGTTAGCATAGAACAGGCAAACGGCTGTATGCACACAAACAAGCACAAGGTCGAGAATTCGATACCCGCGTGAAAAATTGTTTTTGCGTAATCTAGGAATTGTAGAGCTAGATCGGCGTATACAAAAAAATGCAACCACGGCAAAGACAAAATATCTCCTACCTAGTAGCGTCGGGCATCGTCGCTCATTATCATCATCATCATCAGCCTTTAAGTGTCCACTGCTGAGCAAAGGCCTCTTCTCATACGGAGAAGGTTAGAGCATTAATCACCACGCTTGCTCAATGCGGGTTGGCGATTTCAAGTTATTGAGCTTTTCAAACTCGTTAGAAAATATTAATGACGTTACACAATATTTATATCCAAGATGAAGTCTTAAGTGATGTAAGATGACAGTAAAACATAATAAAGTTTTCGTTTCCTTTATTCGAAGTTCATTAACGACTGTGATGCAACGGTTCAAGTTTTGAATAGATCGCCGCGTTTGATTGAATTTCAAATAGTATTGGAATATTCTAGAAAACTCCTCGCATCTAGCGTTGCCAGGCGTCCGGATAAAGCCGGACATAGTTAGGCTTTTTGATTGCTAGTCCGGCCAAAATAGGCGGTGTCCGGCCTGTCCGGCTTTTGTTAGGGTTTTTACCTAAACTTTTCACGATCGTAAACGAGTTAAACGAAAGACTTATTAATTATTTCATAAGAATTCAACAAGATTTATGACAATAATCAAAAATGCTTGATTTACATTAAATGTTGTCGTACCTATTAATACTGAGATACAAAATCCTTAAGAATGTAGGGTGTCCGGCCTTTTTAGCCAAATGTCCGGCTAAACGGGCTGGTCTGTCCGGCTATAAGGCCTAGCGACCTGGCAACCCTACTCGCATCGATACCGTCCCTGACTGAGTCATACGACTTCACTAGTTCTGATGTTGCCAAAGCCTGTAACAAATGTCCACACGTGTTTGGACTTCAAACACACACGGAAAACCGATCGTGACCGTGACGTGAAAACATATCACTTTTTCAAAGCTACTTAAGTAGAAAGTGCGATTCAACATGGAATCTTAAAAAGAGTTCATATTGTTATTTGGTACCTCTCGTAACGCGTTTAAGACTTTCCTTCACAAGTCTCTAAGTATGAATAAATTATTATTTAACTAATGGACCACGTAATTTGCATTGACATAACTTTTCTATAACCGCACTTGTACTCGTTCGTGGTAAAGAAAAATTTTGAGTTTCAGGAACACAACAATGGACGCGTTGATTTTTCCTAAACGAGTTTCATTATAGCTACGTGTTTCGCATTACCGACGTGGGAAATGCAATGTTTTGTTGTATTATACGTTCCTCCCAAGAATAAGTATGCGCTAGGGAGTAATTAGTGCTTGTTTTTCATACGTAGAATTTTCTACTAGAAAATCTTTAACGGAAGGAAGAGATCTCGTTGGGCTTGAACTATGACCGGACGGTGAAACTAGTAACAGTGTCTAGCTTATATATGTAAGTAGGTAGGTACTTACATACAACCAGGCCTACAACTTTCCGTTACAATTGCAAACCGACGCTTAACAAATGAAAATTTATTCAGCACAGATATTAATGCCAAATGATCAGATTGTTCCGTTGCCAAACTGTCCATTTGCTCGGCTGACTCTGCATTGTTATGGTAATGAAGTAGCACATCGTTATGTTTTTACAATCCAATCTAACGCCGTGTGCACAACGATGCTTGATAATTGTGACAAATTGTCGTATTCACTGTGGTATCGCCACGGTATTGTTAGGAATCATCAAATTGTTTCGCCTTATTCGCTTATCTAATAGTCTTCTTTTTAATGGTCGTTTTGCCATTGTTATTTTTTCTTTGTGTCCAACTGATAGAATCAAGTAGCTAAGCAGACGAACCGGTAATTGTTCAGCTTACGTGTACATACAAATAGAGGTTTTGTGTCAAGGTACATCCATAATGCTCCTAGAGAAAAAATAAAGAATCGTCAAGACTTGCTCACATAATAATCTATTTTCTACAGCAAAAGTACATCTGGACTTCGGGTCGTCTTTGCGACTTCAAGGGATGCAACCGTCCTGACTTACTCCCTAACGAAATCAACGGCTGGTTCTGGACTGCTGAGCTGCAGAAATTGGCTCCCACCACCAACCGTCAACAGAACGACTGGTCTGAGGGTGGCGGTATCGGCAAACCCCAGCCCGACAATAGGGTAAGTAACGCCTGCGCTTACTTCATAACTTGTTCCTCGTTAAGGAATTATGACCCGCCCACCAAATTAAGAAATGGTTCCGCGGTGTATACAATAGATGCGTAAGAAAGCATGACATTACGAAATCGGTCATACATGTGACGCAACACAAGGAGCTGATTCCGCGAGCAGTTGAGTAACGTATGTCATACGCACCCGCCGAACCCGTTAACGCATCCGCACGGCGGATATAACGCAATGAAAACGAAAGCGACATGTGAATATTTATGGGCCTGCGAAATATTCGCCGAAGGGCGTACCCGCATGTCGCGACCACTTTCTACAAACAGCGACCGCAACTTGTACAACAAAAGCTCATCGTTATTCGGCGTGCGTCGTCGCGTTGTTTGCGCGTCACTTTCCCCGCGTGTCGCGCGTACCTGCGACCTGCGCATGCGCCTACACTGCGGAACAAACAATGCCGACGTAATCCTCTGTGGTCGCACGCGCATCCTCGGCATCCGTTGTCGTTTGGCGTTCAAGGCCTTGCGCATTATGCGGTTATTCCACGCCAGCCGATTGATGTAATGGCTTTTATAATAAAAATAACTTACATCTTATACAAAATTACATCCTTCCCATCTTCTCAAGCATTTAGCCGGATCTTCGGGAGTTTACATAGTTACGTAATGGATAGATACTTTCAAAGCCGTCAGGGTCACTATGACTCAGATTAGGTGTACAATAAGCAAATACCTTATAGTCCCTATAATGTATTATAATGTATGTCTGTACCAACAGGAGCTCATCCAGGGGGGCGCTGCGGAACACTGCGTGGCTATCCTGAACAATTTCTACAACGACGGCGTTCACTGGCATGACGTGGCGTGTCACCACCGCAAACCCTTCGTGTGCGAGGAGAACGACGCTCTCCTGAAATACGTGCGATACACCAACCCCGCCCTCAGAGTTTGATCCGATAACCACTGCCTTACACTGGTACATGAGTAATTAGAAGTTGAAGTATTGTTAATAAGTAAGCACTTAACAATTCGAATCTAACGAACTATTTATATTTTATGACGAGAAATTTTTATTTAAATGACTGTGCTTACATTTAAAACTTATGAGGTAGTATCCATAAAAACAGCCAAATATCATAAAGCTTCAAAACGGAAAAAATCGATTTCAATTTTCGATATTAAATTAACGATCCGGTTCTAGCTTTAAATACCTCATTACAGAAATATTTATTACAGTATTGTACATTACTTTAGTTATGTAACTGATGCAGTCGATGTTTAATAATATTTAAGATCTGTCAATAAAGACTGTTTTAATTTTTATGCTTTGTTTCATTATTTCCTAATAGATACAAAAACAATAGCTATTAATAGTAAACAAGATGTTTTGACTACACTAGATCTCTAGCCATAACATCTACTTTCTTATTCTTAAGATTTGTGTATGTATATACAGGGTGTAAAAAGACACTTAACGAAGCCGAAAGCCACGTATTCTACCCATTATTTGGATAATTTTAACTTTAAGACCATAGCTCATCCACGAGTTCTCGAGATATTGAAGGTCAAAGATGCATTTTTTATTTTTGTTTTTTGCGCAATCGAATTCTAAGTATTATTACAAAACTTTATTCCAACAAACATTACCTGAATTTTCGACTTTTCTAAATAAATTACGCATTTGAAGTTACGAACAGTAATGTACGTAATAAATAAATGCAGACCCACACAAAAAACATCGTGCATCTCAGTAGGTTTTTTATTTTACAGAATTGTTTTGTTGTTGCGAAGTAAAACGTCGACCTACGTACTTATCACAGCGTTTTCATGCTAAGCTGTGAACCTACGCACACAATGACACGAAGCCCGTTTGCTTTACATTGCGCGCAATAAAATTATTATTTTTTTTTGATACCTAAAAATAAAAGTCGTTTCCCAGTGATAATTTTAGCGTAAAGCTACTTAGATAGAACTGCAGTATGCGTAGTTAACGGCTTCGTTAAGTGTCTTTTTACACCCTGTATTTGTGCATACTGAAAATAACTTTTTGTTCTAAATGATCCTTGCCTAGCAATTTCATTAAGACTACCAGGTGGTAGGTTTAGTGGCCAGCCTTATTGGCCCTCTTACTACGTAAAGGACATGTAATATTATTACTGTCGCTGGTAATGAATGATAAAATGATTTTTAAACTAAAATTGTTTTTAAGTAATCATGCTGACATCCTTTATATTTAGTAATTCCACATTTCTAGATATTTTTTTAATAATCAGACACACCAATGAATATAATTTAAAGGTGACATCAAGTCGACGAGTTCAAAAAGAAGTCACATCTTCAGCAGTGATGGAAATTACTAAGATAACCAAGGAGTACTGACTGGTTATTTTGTCCTCTCACTTTAACAAATCAAATTAGGTACTGTTTCAAGAACTGATACAGCCGAGGCTTTGAATAAACCTAACAGGAATCCTAAAGTATAAAGTTTGAACCAAATTGGAAAAAAAAGCTTGCTTAAGCATTTTACTGCCGACAACAACTGTTGAAGGCTAACCCTCCGCTGGAGTCGACAGCATTGTCAGACATGGCGTTCTAAGTGTTAAGGGAAAACTGAAGGTTAAATATAATTTGAATATATTTTACAGAAAACACACAACTAGAGACAATAAATGCATTTATTTCAGCGTTGCACTTACAAATAAAATTTATTGCCCATTTTAAACCAGTGACAATAAATTATGTAAGAAGTTCGCATATTTATAATAGTAATATTATATTGCTGTTTTTTTATTATTTAAAAATAGTACATTTATATTTGTAAAGTTGTTATGAGGAGGGTATTGCAACTTTAAACCGGTATCTTAGGGACCTGGGCGATGATTTCTTAGTCATTATAAACCAGAGGCAGACATTGCAGAAGTAAACAAGAGTCAGGAGCATAGTGACATGCATTAAATGACACAGACGAAGAAAGCTTAGTTTTAAACCAAAACTGGAAATAATAAATTAATTTTAGTTTCACTTTGTCATGGACTACTTGCAATTCATAGTTTTATAGAATATCAGATAAATACTTACTCCCTGTTAGAAAAATCTTCCATATTACTATTAAGGGATTCATTAGACCTTTGAGGGTCTGGTAATAAGGTGAAATCTTTGTCAAACTGCTCCTGTAGACAACATATCCTTTCCATAATGAATAACAGTAGTATCGCCCAAAAATACTCAAATTCAAACACCATGTCTGTCATTTTTTGCCTTCAACCATTATGATATGATACCCAAACTTGGTTTTTATAGGAGGGTCGGTGTAAACTGGGCTATTAACTGTAGATATGGGTAAGGCGAATGCCGCATCCTGAAATGGGCCCACCATTGAACCACGGGTCATCCAGCCAAGATCTCCCCCTGAACGCGCCTTATCCTCACTGTACGCGGCTGCAACATCCGGAAATTTTTGTCCAGCTTTCAATTTTTCCAAGGCTTCTAAACATTTTGATTGTTTCTCACACAGTATATGACGGACTTTGACAGCTGTCCCGCCTTTTTTCTCTTTTCCAGCTGATTCTAAATTCAAAACAAAAAGGTGGGTTATGCTTCATAGATCTTATTAAATCATTTCAAAAAATGTAATAAAAATATTTGCAACCTTTCGCATCACCACCAGATTTTCCGCCACCGGATTTAGCATTTCCACCGGCTTTACCCTTTTCTGGTTGCTTTTTCGGGGGCATGTTATCGAACTTAACTTCGGCCTGTGACAATTTTATTCTAGTTTCCAATATTCTTTGCTTAAACCACTATTATTTTTGCTTATGATAAACAATTTAATGTTGCACATTAACGTAAATAAGATAGTTATTATCATCAGCTGTTTACGATGTGAGGTTATAATTTAGTGTTGCCATACACATTTCAGACTTATTCTGATGAAATAGTTGGGAAAATAACGACGAATTTTTATTCAATAAAATACTTTTTTACTTCTTTAAGTACAATATGCATTGTTTTATTGAAGTCATTTTAAATTGTGTTATATTTAAATTGGTACAAAATTATTGAATTGAATTTATGTTATTCAGAAAACCGTAAATCCTAGAAATCGGTAAATTTTATAAATAATCTGTGTAAGTTTTAGTGAAGTACTACATTTTCATTCATTCTATGAACAAAATTTTCTCGTTCACCTTATCATTCATTCAAAAAATGGTTTTTGTTTAGCCCAAACGAATACTTTGTTTTCTTTTCTAAATGAGTTTTTAGATGCGTTACTTTTACTTAATTAGTCATATTGCGTACTGCAATGATGTGTATTTTGCCTAATTTTTAGATAAATAAGCAGTTTTGTGTTATGATAGTGTTTAAGGTAGAAATATGAGATTGCTGTCGTGGTGAATAACACCCTTGTAAATTTATTATTAGTGTTGCGAAATAGACATAATACAGGCCTCAACGATGGGTATTATGTACGAAAAGCGGCCGCTGAAAAGGCCACGGCTTGGGCCTCCCGATGTATACCCTCAGGAGCCCCGCCAAAAGGAAGATGAACTAACATCAACGAATGTAAAACATGGTTTTTCTACAACACCACAGTCCAGCGACGAGTTTGGTACTGCTAGGAATTTTAATTATTCAGCATCGAAGGTGAGAATACAGATTATTTGTATTTTGTCCTGAACACATTACTTTCAATAGATTTAAGTTGGTTTGAACAAGTAGGTCAGATGGCCTTGTATAGAAAAACATTGCACTCCTTGGAATCCTACCTCTTTCTTTCAAGGTGTAGTGAGATATTTAAATTTTGTCAATTGATTAGTTTGCATTATAGGTATATTGTCTGATGCTATTAGTCATTTGATTCCCTAGTTCAGCAAGATTGACAAATCATATACATGATATACACAGTTATTATGGTTTTGACTTGCTAAAGGTTCTTAGGAGATACTCATATGCAGTGCATCTACTATAACAATGTTAAATCCTTTCATTTAAATTAACTGAATCTAAAGACTTCAGTGTTAATCCTTGAATTAGCATGGAGAAATCTATTAAAAAGTAAGCTAAAAGGTGCCACAATAGTAAATGTCTATTTCCACTTTGCCTTATACAAAATAATTATCAGTTTAATGTAAAACCAAATTTATATATATATTTGTCTATTTCAATATATATTTTCTTACTTTTTTCAGATAGGACAATTCTTTTCAAGTATACTCTCTAAGAAGGAAGAATTGAATACACTGCCTGATTGTGGAAGGAAGAGACAACAAGTCAATCCTAAGGACAATTTCTGGCCTGCCACTGCACGCACTAAGGCACAAATTGAGGCCTGGTTCAAGGACTTAGCAGGTAAATGTTTCAGTGAGATCCAATGCCAAAAGTCAAAAATCATACATTTCAATTAGGCACTTTGGAATATCAAACAAAATTTTAAAGATATAAAGAGAGTCTGTCGGTCAGTTATCATAGTGAAGTTATCTAATGTGTTCCATTAAAATCTTTCTATAGCCACTCAATTTTGACTACTTATTTTTTTTTTTTAATAATCTAATTCGTCATTTCTCTGAGCGTCTAACACAACTATCCTCACATTTCTCTCAAAGATATACTTCTAGCAACTGCTGTAACCAGATATAAAATGCATTTTCTAAATTTACAGGAAGCAAACCACTATCCCAATTGGCAAAGAAAGCACCAAACTTCAACAAGAAGGAAGAGATATTTATAACTCTGACTGAGTACCAGGTCTCTATGCCCAGAGCCGCCTGGTTCATCAAGCTTAGTTCTGCATACACCGTTGCTGTTTCTGAAGCTAAGATCAAGAAGAGACAGTTACCTGATCCAACCACTGGTAAGTTACACTTTTTTATGATAGGATGACTTTACAAGGCCCTGTAGCTCTTGAAAAAAGTTAAGGGGTAGGAAGTATGACAGTCTTATCTCTCTAAACCACCCTAGTGATCATCATCAGCACCTTAAGAAGGTCATCAATCAGCCGAGGTTGCGGGGCAAGCGCAATGAGGCACCGCAGCCTCGGCCCAGAGCAGGAGGTTTTTAGTCAGTAAGAGTCTGACACTCTCTCGCGCCTTACCCGGGGCGGGAGAAGTCATTAGATGATTTTCCCCTGACAAAAAAGAGAGGATCATCAAGTCCTTATTTTGAACCATCTTAGTTAATACTAATGGTTACTTTTTGTTGAGGCAGTATTCTATGTCTATATTTAATTTAATCTATTAGTTGTAAATCAGATTGGTATATGTAGCATTATTATTGTAGTTAGGTAAATAAGACTGTGCTACTGACCTACATACCAATTTGTAATAACATTATTTTATATTATCTCTAATACTTCGTTTTGACTATAGATTTTTTTAAAATAATATCTAATTTCCTGCAGAGTGGACCACAACACTGATCAAGTTCCTCAAGGATCAGATTCCGAAACTAGCTGAACATTACCAAAGCGCCGTCCCTGGCAATGTGTCTGATAAAACGCCACCTTCTCAATCTGGTAAGTTACTGGAAAACAATAAATTACTAATTGATTGTGTGAACTAGTTAAGTGTCGCACGATGCTACTCGTGACTATGAGACCCAGACTTATCTTGAAACTATTCGCGTTATCTTGTAAAATTACGTAAGTCTAACGCAAAAAAAAATTACAACAGTTATTATATATGACGGAACGTCCTCTGTGGTCAGGTTGACATGTGCATTCCTATCATCATCCATCGTTGCAGAATTCAAAAATAAGGCTCCAGATAATTGTACAGCACACGTATATTCAATTACCAATCTTAAATTATTTAAATAACAAATCACACCGCAGATCTAATCGGATTGACAGGTTCTTCAGCTTAGCATTTGAAAAGTGACCGTCCATAGATGCGCGAACGAACGCACCAATCATAGCTGAATGATTGAGTAGTGAGTGAAGTCGCTGTTATACCGACAGTTACTAATAATACTAGTCTGAATAAAACCTTACAGGGCCATCTATTTTGAATACTTATAAACTAAAATTAGTTCAACGTGTTGTTAAGAGATGACGTAGTGAGCGTTTTGTTATTAACACTGCGACATATAAGTTTTTGTCAATGTTGTTATCGTAATAGAATATTGTGCTTCAGGCCAAGGTACTCCGAGCCACAACTCGTCAGGCAATCCACCAGGTAGCTCCACACCCAACTCCACTGCTTCCAATTCTATGCACTCTCCTGGAAATTCCAGCAGTAAGTATTCGTACCATATTCGCGAAATACGATCGATGTTGACATATACAAACATAAATACATAAAATACTATTCCAACTTTAAAATAGCTATGAAATAAATTTCTTGCCAAAAAATTTGGTGCTATATAATTTAACCTGAACCTTTAATTTCAGGTGAAATTATTTGACTTTGACTGCACGGTTGGTGCAGTGGCCGGGCAATTGGCTGCCGTGCAACGTGCCGCGGGTTCGATTCCCGCACGGAACAACCGTTTGTGTGATCCACAAGTTGTTGTTCCAGGTCTGGTTGACATGTGTATGTGAAATTGTATGTTTGTAACCGCACCCAAGACACAGGAGAATATCCTAATGGGGGGCAACGTTTATAAAAAAAAATACTTTTTGTTACCTTGTAAACTTTGCTTTTAATAAAATGTATTACAACTTTCTCCAATTATTGGTTTAGTGGATATTAGCTGACTGAAGAGGAGATTCCCATGGAAACGAAATAACAGGAATCTCCATTTTGTCCTAATTAATTGGTTTATTAATGGAAACTATTTATCCTTTGCCCAGCTCTAGGTTCAGGTACACCTGGCCCAAGTGAGAGTACAGACTGGCGACAGGCACTGAAGCTATGGAACTATTGCTGCCGCCTTGCGAAGTACCTCCTGGACGAAGGTCTACTAGACAGACATGACTTCCTCACCTGGATCATTGAGCTACTGGACAAGAGAGCGCCTGATGATGGTCTTTTGAGGTAATTTCCATTAAAATACAAAAATTAAAAAGATACTTCTTTTTAATTTCAATATTGATTATAACTTGGTGAGTTCATTTGATTAAAATCCTTCCTTGTTCTAAGTATCTAATAGTGCAATACACCTTGTTTTTCCCACTCCACTATATTAAGAACTACTGACTTTGTAGTGCCAGTTATTTTAACATTAATGTGATTTAAACTTGATTGGTTAACTTGGAAGTAGCCAATCAGAACGTCAAACGACATAAACATGTTGAGCAAATCATCAGCATCTTATCGAAGATCGCGATAATGTAAAGCAAACCCACATTAGAATTGTTTTATTCCTTAGCTCTTAGGCCCTGTTTACAGACACGCGACCGCCGTGCATTTGTTTTACTTCCATTGCAGCATGGGGCCACATAAGCTTCGGGACAAAAAGTAACATTTGAATTTTATGAGTAGTGTATGATGGAAAAAGAAGACTTAAACTTGCCAAGTATTTAGCTCATGTTCGCCAGTGCTTTAAACATTCTTTTAATACTAATTCCTAATCCACAGACTATTCTTACCTCTGGCCTTACAACATATGAGCGAGTTTGTATGCTGTGAGAGCCTCTCCCGCCGGCTCGCGACATCCTGCGCCAAGAAGGCAGCAGCCATTTGCTCAGTGCTCTCTGATACTACATTGAGGACTCTTAACCAACCCGCTGTCTTCACTAAAACGGTTGACAGGAATGCAGGTGAGAATCTATTGTATTCTTGAAATACTGATCTAATTCATTCTAGATATTGACGAATGGTCTAAATCTACAGTTTTCTATTGATTTTGTCCGGTAGTGGATTGTGACGTCATCACTTTAAAGTCGTATAGGATACTTTTTTAATTGGTAAATAATATACGAATTTTAAGTACATAGTAAAACCAATGAATGAAGGTGGAAGGAAGGAAATACTTATTATACGAACTCTCCCCATTATATAAATCTCCGAAACTAATATATCTAGACTGCTTAACATCAGGTAATTGTTAGCTGCACAATAACATACTTAACAAAAAAATATTTTTGGCCAAGTGATGCACCCAATTTTGCTAACAGCCATGGTTAAGACACGGTTGACAGGCTTAATTTGAATATTATTAGTATTAAACACGTGATAGTCATTAAAAAATTGGGTTAAATCGAGATCTGGTTATATATATATCTGAGTATAATAATATGTTCTCTTCAATGTTAACAAGTTTGTATTAATTATTAAATCCAATTCTTTTACGTTACTTGATTTATGAATCAATTTGTAATCTAATAAATTAATACTTCTATATAACTTAAAAAGTATAAACTAAAACAACAATGATTTCACAGAAACAAATGGCGCACCAATGTCGCCTGCGAACGAGACGACCGCAGACGTCAAGCCAAATATATCACAGATCAAAAGAGAGCCTACTCCCGTGGAAAACCAGGGCACGCCTAATCCCAACCATTCTTTGGGCACGCCTAACCCCAGCCATTCCTTAGGCACGCCTAACCCGAATCATTCCATGGGTACGCCAAACCCCACACAACCGATGGATGTCCAAGTGAAGGAAGAGAGGGCTTCACCGGCTAGAGAGACGAAACCTGCCCTAGCCACTGTAGTCGCCGCCGCCATGAATCCGGTTCAAGCTGGTTTTGGGGAGATACTGAACTGTTCTTACCACAGAGATGTTATTATACAACTCGCTACTATTCTGCAGGTAATGTTTTGTTTTGTTGAATATGAAATGTATTGATAACTGATATTTAATTTTTTTTAAATAGAATACTCAATGCTTGTACTTACCTTATTTCGTCATCAAATCAATGTACCACGGCCGCGGCTCGGTCAGAAGAAGGAATGGGGCGGCTTTTAGTCAATAAGAGTCTGACTCCTTACTGACTAGGAACCCTCCTTCCCAGAGCGGGAAAATAGATTTGATGATTGTCTCGCCTCAAAAATGCTAATTTATTCATCAATCAATCATAACTAATTTGACTGCGTTTGTGCTCAAGAAATATCAACCAACCCTAATATAAAACCTTTTTCGATTGACAGGTCATTTGCATCGAGTGCCCGACGGCCATGGTGTGGTCAGGGTGTGGTTCGTCACTACAAGGCTCACCTCTAGATCTATTGCCAATACCACCATCGGCGTTACCAATGCCTCACATGGACACAGACGTCACAGAGGAACACAGAAAACTGGTGTATGAGGCAGAACAAGAAATCTCAGCAAGAAGCAAAAAGGCTGAAAGCAAATGGTGCACAGACAAGTGGCAGACCAGCTCACAAGCTAGAGTTTTAGCGGTATTGGAAGCTCTGGACAGGCACTGCTTCGACAGAGTGGACCCTAACAATAATTTGGACACCTTGTATAAAGAAGTGTTTGCGAATTGTCCTCCACCCTCAAAGGATAATAGTGATACCAAAGATCCAGAGTGGGCGTGTCCGTATTCTGTGGTGCGTGTGATATGTGAGTGGGCGGTGTGTGGGGCCCGCTGGGGAGAACATCGCGCCCAGGCCGCCGCTGCACTCCTCGACCGGAGGCAGCATCACACATTGCACCATCACCACGACCACCATGCGACTGGATCCGATGACAAGGAATCAGTGAGCTCTGGCACTGGCATGTACAACGGTCCACCAATATTTCAGAACCTACTTCTGCGCTTCTTAGACAATGATGCTCCAGTACTAGATGAGAGCCCCAACGCCCCACCAGGCAACAGGCAACAGTTTGCCAACTTAGTGCATTTGTTTGGCGAGCTAATACGTCGCGACGTTTTCTCTCACGATGCCTACATGTGCACGCTTATCTCACGAGGGGATTTGATATCCCCGACGGAGCCGACGTCGACTGGAGGCAGTAACCACAATGTGGCGCCCCCTTCCAACAGTACCAGCACTCACAACATGGACGATGATATCTTCGCCGGTATTGATCTCAAGCCTAAGATGGAGGTACGACAATGTATTATTCTTACTTTAATTGTATAATACAATTTCATGAATAAATTTCTAGGATAGGTAGATGGGTAGGTTTTGTATTAACTAGATTGAAGCCTTGTCTCAGTACTAAATTTTCGTGTGTTGTCACTCAATGATCTAAATCCGTTTATTATACCTAAATGTTTGAATTAAATCAAATAATTAATTTAAATGCTTAACATAATCACCTATTGTGCAGGAAAACGTCCGAATGGACTTGGACGACTCGAAGATAGATGATGACCTGGACAAGCTGCTCCAGCATATCAAGGAGGACCAGCAGAACTCCATGGATGCGCCCGACAGCCCCAAAGACCCGGGAGAGCCTTCACACAGGTGATAAAAATATTTTGTTACACAACCAATAGGGTTTACTGACATACAGACTGACATTTTGTTTTTTTTTTACTATTAATAATGATTTTGTAATTTATTCGCAAATTTGTAAGTCCCGAATATTAACACCATAATATATCTTATAGTCCACAAAAGAGCAGGCACTAGTGTACTTGTTATATAATATCCAATACTAACTTTACGCAAATAATTGGCATGGGTTGCCATGCGCCAGGTAACTCCCGTGTAGGGTTGCCATACATCAGTGTCCTTTCTACTTGAATGTTAAGCCAAACTCTCAAATCCCCCTGGCCTTTAAATATGGTGATCTGGTAACCCTACTACCATGTAATACAAGCTAGGCCAATTGCGATGCAGCAAGCATAGTTACAATAGGTAATAGGTAAAAATTTTAAATTAAAATCTTAGTTATACTTGTTTTTACTCGGAATTACTTGAACAATAAATCGGCCAGTAATTTCCAATAAGCAAAAAGGATGTTGCCTAGATTTTTTTTAATTTATGACACATAGAAAGTTTTGTTTTTTATTTCTTTTTTGTTTATTTCAATGGGAAGTAACTTCTTTGCATACGTAAATTCAGTACGTGTTACAGCGTGAATTCTCCTATGATGGGGCCGGGTGGAATGAGCATCCCGGGCATACCTTCCATGAGCATGGGGCCCATGTCTGTACCAGGTATGTAATATTTTAAAATATACTTTATTGTATACTACATAAAGATTGAAGTGAAAATTACGTTTACGTCATAACATTTGTAATTTAGTTATTAGTAATTGCCCTACTTTAGGATAAATATGTATAATCTAGTTATTTTGAATTGACTGCACGGTTGGCGCGGTGGCTGGGCAACTGGTTACCGCTTCGATTCGACTTTCGATTCCCGCATGGGACTACTCTTTGTATAATCCATCGCGTGTTTTCGTTTCCCACATGGGACTCGAATGCACAAATTATTGTTCCGGGTCTGGGTGTGATGTGTATGTAAAATTGTATGTTTGTAAACATACCCGCGATGCAGGTGAAAATCTAAGGATTTTCATTTGTTAGGCAAAATTTCTTTTTCCTGGTTCAACTATCACTATGTTCTTAGGTATCCGCACGTCAAGCGCGGCGGGTTCAAGTGGTTGCGCCGGGGGTGGGGCGGTGTCCCGACACTACCACTACACGCTGCACTTCCCGCTGCCGCCAGCGGAGCCCGAGCACACGCCCCACGACGCCAACCAGCGACACATACTGCTGTATGGAGTCGGCAGGGCCAGGGACGAAGCCAAACATGCTGTCAAGAAGATGACCAAAGGTATTGTGGATAGAATTCCCTTTTTCACTATTTATATTCCTCTGGCTGGTCTAATAAATGTCGTCTAGGAAATTGCAAATGTGGACAAGTAAAGAAGAACCTTTAGAAGTAAAGGTATCTGGTACATCATTTACGATTTGCAACCCGCTTTTCAAGTAATATCCTTATGTACCTTCGCTTTATTATTTTGCTGTAGTTGTTAAGTTCATGTGTATTCTGCACAGAAATAAATGGATTTTCTTTCTTTCGTTCTTTTCACACTCTTTAATGTATGGCAAATAGTAATACGAATTTTATTAAAATCAGTCTAGAAATTTTATGTGTGAAAGTGTCAACAGCTCGATTTGTTTTTCCCACACACTCAAATTATTTTATCTAATACAATACCTAAGTACATTGAAGAATTTATAAAAATATTTTTTTATTTGTTTCAGAAATATGTAAATTATTCTCTAAGAAATTCTCCATCGACGTAGCAGAAGGCGGTAAAATAAAGAAACATTCACGGAATGAATTTAACTTCGAAGCTGTTACCCAGAAATTCCAGGTGTGTGCTTTATATCAAAATTGTATATTTTAGCCGACTTTTCCGAAAGATGATGTTGCTTAGGAATCAATAATTCGTGCTTACAAGGCACTCATATTACTTGAGACTAGCTGACCTAGTAAACATCTTACAGCCTGGTAGTTAATAAATACTTCTTTTTTCACTTTTCCCTGAACTTCAACAAATATTTTAAGACCAAAATAAGCCATGTCGGTACTGCCTGGGAGACGAACAGCAATTGATTTCTATATATGAGAATATTGTTTTTTTTTAGAAAACATTTTTTTTTTAATCCTGAATCAGATACTTTCTGCGGCCTAGGCAACTTTGAGAATTGTGATTATAATAATATTACTATTTTTTGAAAGAAAACGTTACCCTACATTGGGATTTATTCTTGTGGTGTGGATGCGTTTAGAAACATACAACTTCACATACACGTCATACCCAGACCCGGAACAACAATTTGTGGACCACACAAAGATTCCGTGCGGGAATCAAACCCGCGACACGTTGCACAACAGCCAGTAGCCCAGCAACCGCACCAACAGTGCATTCATAATGTATGTATTGTTGTATTCTGCAGGCGATGTCAATGTACGAGCAGGGCGCGGTGTCGTGGGCAGTGGGCAGCGCGGTGTGCGAAGCCCTGGCGGCCTACGCGGCCGGCGCCACCACGTACCTGCCGCAACCTGAACACGTCGCGTTCGCACTCGACCTCATGGAGATCGCGCTCAATGTCCATGGCCTTATTGAGACCTGCATACAGGTATCTTTATAATTGGTAATATATTAGTGTCGGAATTTCATTCATGAAAATATTGTGTGTAATTCGTAACAAAATTATTGTTGCATGGATGCCTATGCAACAATATTTTCGAGTCTAACTCACTTGTTCGTTCTTTATTCAAATAGTAAATATATATATTAATAATATAAAGCGGTAGAATTTGTAAGTTTGTACAGTACGGCCGACGTATCTTGGCGAGTCTGAAGTTAGCCGTTTGTCTGCGCAATGGATCTTTTAGGAACAAAATTGTGTACTGCGCAGCTACTCGGCTAACTTCAGACTCGCCGAGATACGACGGCCGTATAGAATGTAGGAGGTAATCTGTGGAAGCGCTGGTCGGATTTCCAAAATTCTTTCACTGATAGATAGCTACAATGTTCCTGAGTGCTATATAGGCTATAAAACATCACGCTACGAGTAAATAGAACCGAGAAACCGCGCGAGAGTTGCTATGTGTGGTGTGTGGCCTCTCAGCGTATTGTTTTGTAGGCTTTGACTATTTGCCAATTTCTTGGCGTCTTTGTCTACAAAATAATAGAATGTTTAACTATGTGATATGCAAGGATTGTAAAGAACTTCTGTAGCGTTTGTTGTTGTAACAAGATTATTGAGTAAGAAACAAGTCATCTCTCTCTTTTTAGCATTATCTTACTATATACTAGAAAGTGTAACTGAAAATGTCTTGATATTTATTGCTCTTCTATTACTATAAACGCGAAAGTTTCTAAGAATTGATGGACGTCATCACGTGTTGTGATTCTTTCACGTAAAAACTACCGAATAGATTTGAACATATAGCACAGAAATAGATAATAGTCTGGAATAATACATGGAGAACATTTTTCGCTATAACGACGGTGAAACCAATGGCATATAAGTTATATTCTGATATCCTACTAATATTATAAGTGTGAAAGTTTGGGAAAATGTATGTATACGAACGTATCTTTCATGCAAAATGGTTGCACTGATTTTGTTTTAATTTTATATATGTATAGATAGATAGGTGATAACCTGGACCTTTTTAAGTGAGGCCGTATTCAAAAACTAGTATAATATAGCACTAATAAATAAAATTGTTTAGATCCTGAAAGAGCTGTCGGAGGTGGAAAGTGCGTTGATATCTCGCGGTGCGCCCAGCAGTGGGCTGGCGGCGCCGCGCGCCTATACGTCCGCGCTCGCACTCTACACTGTCGGTGCGCTAAGGAAATATCATTCTTCGTTGCTGTGTAAGTACAATCCAATTGACCAATTCGACGATAACATATTTAGTAGCTTTCAAGGTCTATATTCTAAATAAACATAAGTATTTGACTCTAGAAAAGATCATAAAATAGACATTCTTTGTGTGGAATTAATAGGGTTGGTTGGGTTTCCTAGGTCAACAATAAATTATTGTAATTTAAAGAGTCAGACATTTCGTTTCTCGATACCCTAGAAGTCATTTGATGATTTTCCATCCTCAAAAAGAAAATGGTACAGCTAGGTTTGCATGTTCATTAATCTGGCCACTATTATTTGACAAACAATTTGGATAAAACATAAACAAGAATTATAATTTTTGTCGTCGTCCCTCCCCAGTATGCGTGGAGCAGACGTCCGCGGTGTTCGAGCAGCTGTGTCGCCTGGTGAAGTGCGTGGTGAACCCCGGCGACTGCGGGTCGGCGGAGCGCTGCGTGCTGGCCCAGCTGCACGACCTGTACAAGGCCGCCGCGCATCTCTGCCACGCGCCGCACGCTGATACATTCGCTAATGCATACCCTAAGATCAAGTTAGTTCATCACTCACGTCTATTTATTAGTTAGTAGCTTCCGCCCGCAGCTTCACCCGTGTGGGCATGTCGATAAAAAGTAAGGTATTAATCTAGGCTATCAATTATCTACGTAGCAAATTTTAGTTCAGCCTTTGGCGTGAAAAATTATCAAACATACGTAAATTCTTACAATCTTTCACATTTATAAAATTAAGAGGATTCTAATATTTAGGTAGGATATTCTGCAGCCTTCAAATACTACTATTCAACACAAATATTGTTCAGTAATTCCAGAGTTTAAGTAAGCACGTTATGAAAAACAATCAAATTCTGCAGCTTTATAATTAGTATTAGTATATTAGTATAAACATACATTGTAATTGTTTTTATTCTAACTCATACTATCTATTTAAAAGTTATGTCATACATTTTAATGTGTTTTCTTTTCAGACAAGCTCTGTATTCACCCCTGCAACCAACACCATCCAACTACCCGTACAATCCTCAATTTTTGAGTGAATTCTTCACCAATCCACGTAAAGGTAATCATTCAATCCTATTGTATTGTTATTTTTTATTAAAATTAGCACCATATGCCTATCTTTATATATAAAAATGTCGTGTCACGTGTTTGTCCGCGATGGACTCCTAAACTACTAAACCGATTTTAAATTTGGTTTGCATTCCGTGTGCATTTTGATCCAACTTGAAAGATAGGATAACTTACATCTAAATTTATAGTCACAATATTATTTTATTGCAAATGATTTGTCCATTTATGTAATATAACAAGAACCTTAGCCACAACAACGCGTGGCTGGGTCTGCTAGTACGCCTATTATTCATACACATAATGCTTAAAAATCGTATTTTTCATCATATAAGTGGATAATTCCTGAAGTTCGTTTTTATAAGTTGCAAGTTTTTTTTTTGTTTATTGCTTAAAAACACAGTAGCTAATATACTGTTTATTTTTTAGGTAAAATAGAGATCGCATGGGCGCGTCAAGTAGCCGAGTCTCCAGCGAACAGGTACAGCTTTGTGTGCTCTGCCATGCTCGCTGTTTGCCGGGAAGTGGATAATGATCGGTAAGTTATTTGTTTGGTTAATTTATTTTGTAAAAAGGATAGTAATGGTAGCCATATCAGTAATTTAAGACAAACTTTATATTTATTAGCCTTACAATGCTTCGCTATGTTGTAACAAGTTACTTTTTAACTTTGTATGTTAGACAAGTGTTGTCCATAGTCAACACATTAACAACAACACACAGCGCAAATATTTATGTATAAGGTGGACTTATTGCCATAGGCATTCTTTGTCAGTCGAATCCTTATCCACTAGACTAGACGGGTGAGAATAGAGTGTGCATGTAAGTTGTAAGTTTAACTGCTCGGTTGGGGCGGTGTTCAACCAGTCACGGGTTTGATACCTGCACGGGAAAAATCCTTGTGTGATCCACAAATTGTTATTCCGGGTCTGGGTGTGATGTGTATGTGAAATTGTATGTTTGTAAACGCACCCACGACACTGACGAAAATCTTTGTTTGGGGGTGTGTAAATCTTACTAATATTATAAATGCGAAAATTACTATGTTTTAATGTTTGTCACTAAATCACGCCAAAACGGCTGGATGGAACTGGACGAAAATTGGCCAGAGTGTATCCTCATTCTGGAATAGGACGAAGTCTATGTGAATTAAATGTTATGTATGTTTGTAAACGCACCCACGACAAAGGAGAAAATCCTAGTACGGGGCAACCTCTTTTAAAAAGAGGATAAACATGTATGTATGTATGTTGGTGTCGCAGCGTGAACGAGCTGGGCGTGGTGTGCGCGGAGATGACGGCGTGGTGCGCGGCGCTGGCGGCGGAGTGGCTGGGCGCGCTGGTGGCGCTGTGCGGGGCGCAGCACTACCCGGGCGCCGCGCCGCCGCCGCTCTACCCCGACCTACTGCACCACCGCGACCTGCACGACGCCGCCGCGCACGACGCGCTCGCTGTCTTCACCTGCATACTCGTCGGTCAGTCGCTCATACACTCACTACCTGATAACATTCTCATCTATTCAGTCCAGCGGCCTCGGTCTGGGGGTGTTTTTAGACAGTGACAGCCTCATTACAAAACAAGGTTTTCCTTTAGTCTAGGTCTAAACCATTGAGCCAGCTTTTGTATTTCGAAATTAAGGTAGGTGAGAATTAGATTAAAAATTCAAAACCTGACTCAGTGGTTTAAACCTACACTAAAGATAAATCTTTTGTTGTAATAAATCAAGAATCACCACTAATGAGAATGTTTGTTAAAAATCTTTTTCCCTTGCAGCGCGACACTGTTTTTCGTTAGAAGACTTTGTACGTCACGCGGCGCTCCCATCGCTGCTGAAGGCATGCGGTGGGGGCGGCAATACGGGGAATGCACCGAACGCACCCTCGCCTGACACGGGCGCACGGCTGACTTGCCATCTACTGCTTAGACTGTTCAAGACTGTTGATACACCACAACCTGGTAAGCTTTTCATCTTACTTCTTACTAATATTACAAATGCGAAAGTTACGATGTTTGGATGTTTGTTACTCAATCACGCCAAAACGGCTGGACGGATCTGGATGAAATTTGGCACAGGCATAGGATACACTCCAGAAAAGCACATAGGCTTTTTATCAACATACCACGCGGACATTTCAAATACGAAATTATTCTTAAGATACCGCTTTACTAGATATTCATATATACTCGTAAATCCGATAGAAAAATAAACAAACATTGCGCTCTGCCATTAAGAGAATATATAGCTACTCTCACGCGGTTTCACCCGCTGCTCGGCTCCATTTCATCGTAACATGATGTATCATGCGAATCTACACTTTGGAACGAGCAACTAGCTTCTATTTTGACATTTCAAAAGTTCCTATTTATTGTTCTCATAACTCAAAATCATGATGATGATGAATGATTTTGATTTTGAGTTAATATTATAAAAAGTAACTGTCTGCCTTTTCTTGACGCCTAAACTACTGAACCGATTTCTGTGAAATTTGGTACAGATATAGTTTGGAACTCAAGAAATGACATAGGATAGCGTAGAGCGTAGGATAGGATAGAGTTTTTATACAAAAAATCTGCAGGGAGTCACTATTCCACGCGAACGGAGTCGTGGACAAAAGCTATTTAGTAATTAATAATAGTAAAAAGCTTCTTCTATTAAGTATATTTAGAAAGAGTTTGAAATAGTTTATATCTTATTGTATTCATTATACGAGCGTTTTTTCAACTAGACCCTTTTGTTCTGCAGGGCTGTACTCGGTGTCGACGTCTCCGGGTCCTGGCGGCGCGGCGGCGGGTGTAAGACTTTCTTGCGACCGCCACCTTTTGGCCGCGGCGCATAAAAACATCGGCGTTGGGCCCGTACTAGCTACGCTTAAGGCTATACTTAGTAAGTTTAATATATATATCTATCCCAATCCCCCCTCCCCCCATCCTTAATCCTCATACGTAACGTACAAAGGGTTGTCATCCTGTCTGCTCGTTTGACATTAGACATAAAAATAAAAGAACATTTTCTTTTTTTGTATATAGCATAGGTCGGCGTTTGAGTAGACGGAGGATGTTAAACGATCGGCCCCACCCATGGATACCATTAAAGAGTAATAATTGTGTTTCCGACCTTTTAGGGCTTTGAGTAATTTGAGGAATGGAGGGATTAAGCCTTTAGTAACTTCACTCATATAGTGAAACACAACGTAGGCATTGTTTTAAGCCGGTTTTCTCTGAGATCGTGAACTAGAACAACAGTACCTACTCCTCTACTCCTTGAAAAAGGAACAAAACCATTTTTTTTAATCCATTGTTGAAAGCTTGGTTTTTAATTTGCTTGTTACTTTTCTACACTTACATAACAATATCGTATCTTGTGTAAGAATTTAAAAGATATGGAAAATCACGAGAATAAGACGAACAAAGTTTTATTTTATTAGAAAACTTATCTAACACTCCTTTATTCCTAGTGGTCGGTGACTCAACCGCCCGAGACGGAGGCAAAGCAGGCGGGAAGAAATCGTGTGAACTGTCGCATATACTGGGCACTAGCGACACAGTGCCCACAGACGCACAACTAGACCTTATGTCGTAAGTATAAGATTCAAATCACCACCTTTACATTCGAACAAGCCATTACATGTGCTTTATATAGTAAATGAGTTTTATACATGCAATTATTTGTCTTTAGTTGTTGCATTTAGGTCTAAAATTGCTTATGTGGAGTATATAGAAGAAAACAAAAGACTGTCAGTAATATTTGTTTATTATAAAAAGCACATATATGTGGTGTAGTAGTGATCATTGAACATCATGACATGATCCTTGAGTTACAAATAATAACATTCACAATGCTTTTTCTCGTTTTCGTATATTTATTTTTACCAAGGATCATGTTAGAAAATATAAATCATTTATATATAATATTATATATTGATTCGCGATGTTTTTTTTTATCCTTAGGATGGTAGATTCAGAGATGAGTGGGGGCCATAAAACTCCTAGGTTTGTTTTTTTAATATTGAGTTACACGGTTGCACATCCTACGACCACGGACTTGGCTTCACTGTGTACTTTTGTACATACTCGTACCATTCTGACATGACGACTTATCATTGGCGTAGCTAAACACGATCCATTACACACTTTGATCCTATTTTACAAAGTATTTTAAGCGATATTGACCTCAGTTTACCTATAAAGTTTATAAGAATTTGTGTGGCGTGCCAATAGCGAACTTATGTGCCTTTATTACAAAACAAGATATGTCTTTAGTCTAAGTTTAAACCATTTGAGTCAGGTTTTGTATTTAGAACCTTATTCTCATCAACATACAATTTTAAATACAAATCTGGTTCGATAGTTTAGATCTAGAGTTAAGAACAGCCTTGGTTTGTAATAAGGCCGATGGCGTGCTGCTGCCGTTCCTTGCCATACAAGTCTTAGTTAACACGATCGAATTTGTGTAAAAACTTAACCAAGAAATTCTGTCTATAGGCATTACACTTACTTTAATTTCAAACAGCCATTCAGTTTCGGTCTTCGGTCCATTTTAAAATCGAAATTAGAATCAATAAAACCATAATCTCAATTATGTTTGTGTAATTCACCAAACTGCAAAATTATCTAAAATATTATGTTCACTTTTGCTGTTGATACTATTTTACCCGACCACCAAAAAGAAAGTTATACATATAGTACACATGACCATACTTAAAATCCAAATAATACATTCAAAACTATATTCCATTCTAATATTCTAATATCAGAGATGTTTAATTAAATAAACTACTGACTGAAGTTACAAATACAAAAATATACAACGCTTGCTTTTAACGATGTTAATATAAGATCTACGTACCGGCGCGGCGCTGGCCACACATTCTGCTGATTCGTGGCCCGTGCTTTTCATACAATTAGAGTTAGTACCTACTATATCTGATCAGAGTACTAAGTACGAATTTACGATACGTTCCGACACGTTTATGACGTTCCGCACTCTGATTGGCTTGCTCCAAGTTAACCAACCAATCAGACTTCAAATCGCGTTAACAACACTATAATCTCTCTATCAACATAAAATATTCATACTATGTCTTAAGACACTTGTAAAGAACACAAATACAAAAATATCTTTGTATAAACAAGTTAATATCGTGGCTACGCCAATGTTCACTCGCTTCGCTTCTCTTCATATTTTTTGCTCCTGGCCATCATGCTCTGCAAGGGAAACTCGATGTGTAGTTGCTTCATCCCTGTCTGTCAATAGAGGACACCTTTGGTTGTAACGTTGCCCTTACTAATTCTACTGTTTACTTACAAATATTACAATGTTTCCACGAGAAAAGTGAGTTCTAATATTTGATTGATACATTTCAATATATATAGGGTGACCGATATTTAAACATGTGTTTGTGCTCATGATAACAAACAAGTTTCCCAAAGAAACTTTTTTTTTACTTGCTATAAACTAGTGCTTGACTGCGATCCCACCTGATGGTAAGCAGTGATGCAATCGTTGATGGTAAGGCGCACTAGTTTTGCATTGGTACTCATTAGTTTTATTATTGTAAAAAAATTACTGGCAGCCGTGCAATGTTCAAACGTCGCTCGCCCACCGTGTGTCGTCCGATCAACGGTTAACGCTAATTTTGTCTTTACTTTTTACTAATATTATAAAGAGGTAAGTTTGTATGAAGGGGGTAATCTTTTGAACCGCTGGTCGAATTGCCAAAATTCTTTCACTGATAGATAGCTACAATGTTCCTGAGCGCTATAGGCTATAAAACATCACGCTACGATCAAATGAAGCCGAGCAGCGGGTAAAACCATAAAGCTAATGAGTATAGAAAAGAGTTTCTTTGGGAAAGTTATTTGTTATTATCAGTACAATGACGTGTTTAAATATTGATCCCTAATTACCAGTCACCTTATATATTATCTATAATGTAGTCATGTTCGTTTTTTTTTTAAAAATGTTGATGTATATGATAATATTTGTAAGTAAACAGGTGTCCCACTTCACTGGTTGTGTCGTCCACAGGTTCACGTTTGTGTTTAACAATCGACTCTTGTGTTTCACCCTAAATGTGTACAGGTCTTCACAGCGACTCTTTAACTAATCATCTGTTTTATGTATTTAGTCTGTAGCTGTCTCTAGCTAATAGCCCCCTTTTACGTTTTAAAAGTGTGTATTTTTATAAGGTTTTTCATATGTTAAGAATGTATGAGAAACTGTGTAGTTGGTTTTAAAATAGTGTTGCTTTGGTATCGATAAGAGATGTCGGTTACATAATTTTTATATGAAAATCAAAAAAACAGGTGTCACAAAATTGAACTAAAAACAGATAAACTTAACGTTGAATTTTAGCACATCCTGTATATCAGAAACAGATGTGAAAATACCGATACCCTTTATCGATAAATTCACAACACTATTTTAACTACGCAATCAATACACATTCTTGATTAAAAAAACCCACACAAAGGTGTCAAGCTTCATGTGAATAAACTAAATCTCACTACATATAACTAATCCTTTACTATGGCATTCTATGTTTGGGTCATATGTCCGTACAGTGGCAGGTCAACCTACACTTTTTCTATTGGAATTTCAACTTTATATCAACATTGTAAAGTTGAAAATCTAATTGATATAAAGTTGATTGACTTGCTGGTATCTGTACTTGGTACTGTACATCTATGATAATGAGAAGCCGGTAATGGTTGCAGGGGTAGCGGTGGCGTGGGTTCCACTCTCCTGGACTCCTCGCAGTCGCTGTCGTCTTTAGCCAGAAGGGTTCTGGCTGAGATTTGCTCCGAAGAATGGGTCCTGCAGAAATGTCTGCAAAATCCCGATGAGTTATACCAGCCTGATATGCTTTTGGATCCTATGTTGACTCCGAGACAGGCTCAAAGGTAAGTTTTTTATAATATAGTACTAGCTCTTACCCGCGGTATCGTTTCCGTCGTTTGACTACCTACTCTACCTACACTACCTACCCCTTACCTACCATGCCCTTCTTACCCTACCTACCCTACCCTATGTCCTATGTCCTTCTCCCAGTTCTTAGCTACCTCAATACCAATTTTCAGCCAAATCGGTTCAGCCGTTCTTGAGTTATAAATAATTCAAATAGCACGACTTTCCTTTATGTCTATAGATAAAAGCTAACCCAATATGTTAGCGATATGTAAACTTTTTGTTGTGTTTTAAAATTAAAATTCGGTTGATGAAATTGCACCATATTATTATGTTTTTCTTTTTTTTTAATTTGATATCGTGTTTCATAGGTTGCTGCATATGATCTGCTACCCTGAATCAGCGAGCCACACTCATCCGGACCTCGATCAGAAGACTATGATTACGAGGCTCTTGGAGGTAACTTATTTAATAATACATTCATTATTTAACAAAGTGAATACATTTTACCGGCTTTTTTGATTAATGCATTAAAATTCTGCATAAATTGTCTTTAACACCAACGAAAACAGTACTTGTTATAACTAATTACTATTTGACACATGCACTTTGTGATCCTTTGGTCCGAAACCTAATATTTGCTGTACTTAAGTAAGTTTTTTAGGGTATAGGTCGGCAAACGAGCAGACGGATTACCTGATGGTAAACAACCAGGGTCAATAGACACCCGCAACAAAAGAAGTTAAGAGTGTGTTGCCGGCCTTTCGTGGATAAGGGTCTCGGATATTTAAGTATTGGGGAGGGATGGGGGAGGGGTAAGAATTGGGGCTTGGGTAACCTCAGTCACTTGGAGAAACACAACGCTGTGGTTGTTTCACGCCGGTTTTCTTTGAGGCCGTGGTATCACTCCGGTCGAACCAACCCTTTCGTGCCGTAGCTTTGGTCTCCCACATTAATAAAATATAGAAAAAATGACGTCACTGTCACACTTTGTCCCCAGAACCTGGAACAATGGTCGCTCCGCATGTCATGGCTGGACCTGCAGTTGATGTTCAAGCAGTTCCCCAGCGGGTCGTCGGAGCTCAGCGCCTGGTTGGACACTGTGGCGCGCGCCGTCATTAACGTCTTCCAACAACCCGCGCCTCCACCACCTGATAAAGATAGGTAAAGTTGTGTTGCTTTATTCGTAATTGTAAATATTTTGTGTTTTAAGTAAATGTTTGTTACTTTCTATTTATTGTTAAAGCATAATTATGCTGCTTACAGGACAAAACATATACAATTTAAGTATATAAGTGTCACGTATCTAATTCGAATTTCTTCCTGCAGAACTATAACAGAAAAAGTATAGTGGTGATAAAGTGTTTTGACTCGAGACACTTTATTACATTACATTAGGTAAAGAAAAAAGAAGTTGTTAAGAGGATAGGATAAGCAATTTCTATTGCGTTCGGGGGATGTTTGATTCGGTTATTGTTACAGAGAACTGACCCCGACTGCAATAAAAATAGGTTTTTACTTTTTAGTTCAATTTTCAAACGGCAGGTGTGCCCCGATGTTTCCTAAATCCTTGCTTAGTGTCAGGCGTATTGGTAGCCAAACACTCTACTAAATGTAAAATAAAATGGCATTATCTTACTTAATTCTGTCGCTATCAAACTGACAACTTTTCTTTCTAAATTGAAACAGCCAACGAACTTTGTATTACTGTACGCAGGACGGGGACGGACCGCGGCGTCGTAAGCACGAGCAAATGGTCGGAGTCAGTGTGGCTAGTGGCCCCGCTCGTCGCCAAGCTGCCCGCCGCCGTGCAGGGCCGCGTACTCAAGCAGGCCGGACAGGTACAACACTATATTGACTCTTAACGCTTAATGCTACTAATTTCACATTCTGAAAGGCTATCAGTTTAAAGTGTAAGAATGTATGTTGCACATATGCCATAAAATCAATGCCAATTTTTGTTGTAATGTTATAACAACAATTACCGATAAGTATGGCTAATTTTGATAAGTCCAGGGAAGGTTTAAGAGGTTTATATTTGAGGCGGTGCGGAGTTTAAATTTTCAATAGAATTTTCTGAATAATATCCGATTTGAAAGAATTGAATATTTAATAAACATTCCCTTAAGAAAATTGTTTACCCAATTCGCTTTGTTGTAATTTACCCATTTGATGTACTTTTTTTGACAAATTCACTAGGTTCCTAGTTTTTATTATAATGCCAATTATATTTCTTAGATTCTGGAGAGTGGTTGGGGAGCAGGATGCAGTGGCAACTGTTCTAGCGGTGGGGGAGGTGGGGGTAGCTCGCACAGAGACTGCAAGAGTCACCAGAGTCCTAGCTACAAAGGGTGAGTTCAAAATATAATACCTGCTACTTCCTCACTGTTTAATCCGCTACTTGACACCTATTCGGTGTTGTGTCATATTTTTAAATCTTTTTATCCAGTACTAAACGAATTATTCAATTTGAACCAGTAATTCCGGAGATTAGCGCGACGAAACAAACTCGTATATTGTTTAAATTTGTGACGAGATAACTCGTCATAAACATCATTTATATCTTTTTTTATACACGTTGCGTATAAAAAATACACTAGGACCTTCTATGTCATGAACGTGGATGCGTCAACAAACAAATCTACATCGACATCACGTTCAGACCCGGACATGCAATTTGTAGATCAGACAAAGACTTGTATGATAAGTCATTAGAAATATTGTTATCACTTGTATGCTCTTTTGCGCCCCACACTAGGAACTTCTTCTGGGTGTGGGTGCGTTTATAAACATGAATTCACAGCTACATCACAATCAGACCCGTAATCACAATCTTTGAATCACACAGACTTTATCAAAATAGTGATGGTCTATCATTATATGCATTGTTAAGACTTGTATGTCGGTGCGCAGGTCAGCGGGCGGGGGTAGTGGCGGCAAGCGCGGCGTGTCGGGTGGTGCCTGCGGCGGGGGCTGCGCCTGCGGGGCGGCCGCCGCCGTCCGCCTCGCCAACGAGCCACTTTTGTCGCTCGTACTCACCTGTCTGCGCCACCAAGACGACCAGAAGGTAACCACTACTGTTACTTATACTATTGCTAAAGACAGCTTACATACAACTTGAGGTTTTGATCCCCAGATTTCTCTAGTGACTGGGATAAACCCAAATCTAATGAGAATAAGCTGAGTCCTTAAAAAAATATAAAAAAGTGGGACATAAATATAATTCACTTCCATTTCGTATTTTGGGAAGAAAAGGAATGAGAAAGAGACGAATTTTCACATTATTTTGTTTGACGTTCAAAATTACCTGTAAGAGTCTTATTTAAATGTTTTTTTTTGACAACTTAATCCAGCCGTTCTTAAATTACAACGTAATTTACACACAACCTTCTTTTATATAGGTTTAGATTTTATTTCATAATCTCCGCTTGTTTACCACAGGAAAGCCTTCTAAGCTCGATCCACGCGCAACTGCAGCACTACGTGACGCACGCATGCGCGGACAGCTGGCAGGACGACGCGGCGCCCGACGCGCTGCTCCTCCGGTTCTCCCTCGCCGGCGGCATGTTCGACGCCATCCGACGCTCGTACCAACTCACCGCCGACTGGGCCGTGCTACTCACGCAACTAGTCGCCCATCAACTCATCGATGCTTACAATAACAGGTAACTTCAATAATGCCTACGAGACCTGCGATTGTTTTCTTTATTGTGTGTCAGCGGTTTAGGTGATGGAGTTTAATTTTTATAGTTTTGCTGTTAGTGTGTGTGTGCGGTGGTGGTTACTGGTCAGCCTACCATGACGTGTTAAAGCGTCAATCTTCCGGGTGAGAAAAAGGGATGGAGCTATACACCTTTTATAGCTCCATCCCTCAGTTCTGACTCTTAAAGTATGCAGTGAAATTTTGTTTCAATATGTTGAAACTAAAGTTTCAGTGTAAAAATTGCAACCGCCGATGCATTTGTGACTTATTTTGTGTTACGGGTGTCCATGCTGAGCTGAATGCTTACCATCAGGTGATATGCCTCGTCGTTTGCCTCCCATTCCATAAAAAATGGTTGGATTTTAACAACATCAGTTATAACAAACATTACTCGTACAGCTCTCAAACTGATTTCATACTTGTCATTGTAATCTTACAAACTAGCTTCGCATTATATTCCAGACTATAATCTGTCTCTGTGCAAAGTTTCATTAATTAAAATCCATTCAGTGGTTTTTTGTTGAAAGAGTAACAAACTCTCATCCATCATTACTTACAAACTTTCCCGGTTATAATGTCAGTAGGTTTTCAAGTTATCTATCTACAGTCTCTTGTCGTCTGTGCGTCAAAGCACTATTAACTTAATTGCTGACCGTAACGTCTTAAATTCCATGCATATTCATCAGCATGTTTGACTTCAAGGTTCTTGGTTCATTTTTAAATAAGCATGTGCATATGTTCGAAACCTAATTCATCGTCATTTTGGAGAATTCGAGGTGTGTCATGCTGTGTTTGAAGTTTGGCTTCACTTTTCTGGTCTTTCGGAAAATATCGTTCCCATATGCATGAAAAGACACGAAAGGTGTCTGGCAATTAAAGCATTGATACTGCTTTCCCTTAACGCGAAGGAAACAGGCGTAAACTATACTCTATTCGCGTTAAGATTAGACTTACCCTTTGTTACTGTTTGTTTAATCGATTTTGACTCCTATTCCGATGACATATGGATGACATAAAACGCAAAGTTTGCTTCAAAGACAACAATACTGCAGCTGGCTTGGTCACTCCACCCACGTAATAAAAGTCAAAGTCGATAAAACTGCCAGTCAAAAGAGTTGTTCAAATGTCTAATCTTACTGCGAACGGAGTATAAGCAGTTCAAACTGAAAATTGTTGCCGAAAAAATGCTGGGAAAAGTATTCATTCGCACGCATGCAGATTGCTTCATATTCTTTCGAAACCAATCGTCTCTCCTTTATCCGGCTTGTTCGAAGCCTTGGAACGATAACTTCCTTTAAGTCTTATTTCTTAAAGTGCAAATTTGCACAATACTATTTCGTGCGACTCCCATCGCACATTCAACCTGTCGAGTTTGGGTCAGAATTCTGTGAGCCGCCGACTATTCCAACAGGTTCGCCGGCAACATTGTATGGCCTGACAGACAGTGTATTTACAATAAATTAATATAGTTTGTGTCGCAGCAACCTGTTCTCCACTCTAATCGACATGCTTGCCACTCTGATACACTCGACCCTGGCCGACGGAGGGGACGACAACAATAGGAAACATTACCAGAATCTCATGAAGAAATTGAAGAAGGAAATCGGTGATCGCCACGGACCGTCCGTGCAATGCGTGAGACAACTACTACCGCTTTCAAAGAATACTATCATCGAGGTAAGCGCTTTGTAATGATTAATTTAATTATCTATTCGTTGTTTTATCATAGATGACATGATCTTTTCCATACGCGATATCTGGCCTCTATGCGTACATTTCAAGGGTTACTAAAATTATCGTTCATTGCATTTATATTTTCTATGTGTTCATACGCAAGTAATTTTATGGTTTCTTGCTACAATAAAACTGAAAACATCACTAAGTTTATAATACATGTATAAATTATTCAGCTTACGTAAACTGTTCGAGGATGCCCGACTAGTTTCGAGTCACAGCCATAAATCATAGTTATGGGCGATGTTTCGCAAGCGACTAAATTATGAAGTGTTATTATGTCGACTTGTGTGTTTACTGTACAGAACATGTAATGTTTAACCATGTTAATTACTCTCGTAACTAACCCTGATCATGTTAGAACTTGTTCAATCCATTTGCTGTAAATATAAGTATTCTGCAGGTCATCGCGTGCGAACCCATCGGATGTCTCGTCGACCAGAAAGGGAACAAGATCACTGGATTTGATAGTGATAAAAAACAGGTAGGATCATTATTTCATTGCGTATGCGCATATGTTGTATTGTTCAAACTTAAAACTTATTGTTAAAACTGCCAACGGCAATACCCTTGAACTGGTATATCCATCTTCATACTCCAAACTATGGTCTTTTGGTTTAAGTAAATACCTAAATGTAAAGAGAATCTTGGCACGTCTTTCTTTATAAAAAATGTATGTAAAATGGTTACAATCAGATATTTACTTTATCTAAACCGATGTTAACTGATAAACTAAATTTAAGTAATTGTATGTATTTTAAGCGACCTCTTTAGTTCAAAAAGACATATCAAGATTGTTTACCTTTCATTGACCACCAAAACGGACATGCCATAGTACTTTTTATAACTCCTCTTTTATTGCGGGTATGTATGTGTAGTCCTGATCCTTAAAAATACAAATCTATAATTCTTCTAGCCTACAAGACATGTGTAACAATAATTATTTCTTGAATGTTTTTTAAAAAGCAAGCTCAGTGGCGTGCTATTGGGAACGGCTATCTCCAGCAGTGGACGGAATCAGGCTGATGATGATATGTTTTTAAATACAATGTTATTGTTGACAGGGTCTTCGTTTGACGGACAAGCAGCGTGTTTCGAGTTGGGAGCTGGTGGAAGGAGGGCGCAACCCCGCGCCACTATCCTGGGCGTGGTTCGCGGCCACCAAGATTGAGAGGAAACCACTGACATATGAAAATGCTCACAGGTATTTCATTGGATATTGCACAGATGATTGCAATTATAAAAAAAATATTAGCTGGACACCAATTTCTGTCTATGACATCGTAGCTCCCATAGGGATATACCGACTCCTAATCCGTTTTGTTTTTGCTCGTATTACTTTTTGTGTGGAAATCTGTCTCAGTAATTGTGCCTACAATTATTCAACTAAGGGCTGATTTTTCAATAGGCAGATGAATGTTATCTGAGGAATTGAATTGTTGCTGACGCTATCTTTTAAACATTCTGACACGACAGCATTATAATTATTTTCCAGGTAACTTTTATCTAACCATTGAAAAATGAACCCTAAGATAAAAGACAGATTCGACACAATTTCCTATATTCTTCGCAATCTGCCTGTAATGTGGAGGCCATTTGTTTTTTCTTATTAATGTTTATTAAAACAAAATTCACCCATAGCCGCTAATAAACTATAAATGAAACAATACTTTTTGTTTTAGACTCCTGAAATACCATACACACAGCCTGGTGAAGCCGCTGAGTTACTATCTAGAACCTTTGCCGCTGCCACCTGAGGACCTGGAAACAAACGATAGCAAACAGGTCAGTTAACAACTCCGCATACACACTCTACATTATTATTTAGAACTGAAAAAAAATATAGTAATTTAAAAACAAGTTCAGAATATAAGTATTGCCAGTCGAAACTCGTAAAAATGTTATGGGGCTCGGAATAGTACTAACTGATTCACATACTCTTGCGTCTCGGATACAACTGAGCGTCAAGAGACAATATGAATTTTTTTTTATCATTTTTGAGAGCCCAGGGCGATTTTTTTAAAATTTTAGTAATTGTCATTTACATTTTTTTAATAAATAAACATTGCCCCACACTAATATTTTATTATATGCCGTGGGTGCGTTTACTAACATACAACTTCACATACACATCACATTCATGTTCCTTGCAGTCAAAATCATTTATTCCAACTAAACCATAAATAAGTACTTTTGAAAAGCGGGATTCGAAACCGCGACACATAGCGTGGCAGCCAACCGTGCAGTCAAAAAATTAATTAACTCAATGAATTCTCTTTCTAGGACAATGGTAGTCTAGATTCGAGCCCAACGGGTGCAGGGAAGGCGAGATCACGGAACGCTCCGTGCAAGAACATCAAGAAGTCGAAGCCAACTACACCGGTAATTTTACATGATTGGTTTAAAACTATGAAAATGTGTTTGAAAAAAATACTTATAAATAGTTCTTGTGGTACTGTAAAAATATATACGAGTATACTAATTGTTGTCTCACCATTGGTATTTTCTTTCTATATCATGGATGTGTATAAAAGAAAAAAAAAACAAATTGTGTGATTTCCAGACAAATGGTGTACCGGCAGCGGGCGGGTCGGCTGGGGGCGTGGCGCCTGCGCCCGCGCAACAGCCGCAGTTCATGCAGCAACAACAACAGTGGTTCCCGCCACCCGGACCCGGCCAGAACTATTACAATCCACCTGGTATTATACTCACTTCGGTTTCGGATATTTAAGGATTGGGGAGAGATGGCTGAGGGGAAGGATGACCTCCGGTAACCTCAAACACAACGCTCTGGTTGTTTCACACCGGTTTTCTGTGGGGCCGTGGTATCACTCTGGTCGAGCCGAAGTTTGGAATTTTGTATGCTATAGATCAATAAATTCCTGATGGTGTGCGATATTTGCCGCCCATGGACACCAGGCAATAGGATTTCAGTGTCAAGTGCGTTTTCGCCGTTTCGGGTTTGGGATTAGGGACGAGGCATGATTTGATAATCGGTAAAGTCACTCGTATGGCAAACACAACGCAAGCTGTTACTCGTCAATATTTTTTATGTTTACCGAGATGGCCGTGGCATGGGCCAACCCGCAGCACCAGATACTTCTTTTTAAGTTTTACATTTATTAAAAAAATATCAAATTGATCTAAATATAATGTTTCCCAGCGGGCGTAAGTCCTCGCAGCGTGTCGGCGGCGCCGCCCTCCAACAACCAGTCCAAGCAGGCGCTCAGCAACATGCTGCGGCAGCGAGTGCCCTTCAACCAGATGACGCAGATGCAGGTAACAATACTCAATATTTATAACCATTAGTTCAATATCAACAGCCCCTAACAGTATGTGCCGATCGATGATCGCGTGGCCATCGCGGCGCCACCACACATAAAACAGTACCAAACCCCCAAAAAATACAACATAATTAATAATCAACAAAATAAATGTTCTTTTGTTTTTTAAACGATTATTTTTATTTTTTTAGTCTTATTATTTTGTAATTCTGACAGCAGATCCTTTTATTTTATACCCATATCATGGGGTGATCATTTTAAATAGCCTGTCCGCCACATTGATTCGTTTGAATGTACAGCAAAGCGGCGGGTACCCAGGAGCTCCTCACGCGCGCGCTCCGTTCCCGCGGCAGACCATGCGACAAATGCAACCCAACCAGATGGGAGCTATGCAGTCCGCGTAAGTACACTAACTATTAATAAAAACCGGAAACATTTTTCTAAATTACCCTAAAAATTTAATATTTATTATTTCAGTCAAATGAATCCAATGGGCGGCATGGGTGGAATGGGTCCTATGGGCCAAATGGGTGGAGTGCAAATGCCCGGACAGATGGGCGGTGGCCAGATGGCAGCGGGACAGATGAGCGCTGGACAAATGGGCGCCGGGCAAATGGCGGGCGGGCAGATGGGTGGCATGGGCGGGCAAATGTTCGGTGGGCAATACGGGGGTATGCAGCAGGGTTACGGAGGATACGGCCAGCAGATGATGCAAGGTGGTCAACAACAAATGATGAACCAGGTACATTAAAAACTTGAAGAAATAAACGCTAGCAAAATTGTAATATTATTCTTCGCTTAAAGTTTGCCATAACTTTGTTTTTTTTTCTAGGGATTGGGCCAAAGCGTAAACCAAATGGGCCAACAGGTAAACCCGATGAGTCAGGGAGTCAACTCCATCGGTCAGAACGTAGGTCAAATGAACCAAGGCGTTGGTCAGCCGACACAGATGCCTCAGTCTATGAGCCAGATGAGCCAAGGTATGGGACAAATGGGCCAGCCTATGGGACAGATGGGCCAGATGGGACAGGGTGGCGGTATGTCCGCCATGAACAGCCAAGGCGGGTCTATGGGACCGCAAGGTGGTAATTCTATGGGTGGATTCCCTGGACAACAAACATTCCAACAGGTAATTATTAATAGCATTTTTTATACCACGTATTTTACTTAGTCTGTGTTTCATAAGCACTATGGTGTAAAGATTAGAGTTGAAATTATTTACAACTTTATTAACACATGTTTTATTGTAGAACATGATGGGTGGCCGCGCAAGTCAAGAAGCATACCTAGCGCAACAGAGACAGAATGCTCGACCGCCTTACATGCAGGTTAGTACAAAATTCCTTTATATAATTGCTTCTGTCCAAGTCATAGTCTTTCTCGATATCAAGCAATATTGAAATCATCCAAAACCCGCATTTTAAATATCGTTTCTCAATAACACTATAACCGTGTACCTCACTTTGTTAATAATATTATTTTAAAGTTGTGTTTTTTACACATAAATGAATGATATACTTGTATGACAACAGCAAGCGCCGAACGTGACGATGGGCGGTATGGGCGGGCCCGCGCCTCCGTATCCCCGCGGCATGCAGAACCAGCAAAACACACAGTACCAGCAAATGAACCAACAGCGCATGCGGCAACAGATGCTGGCCATGCAACAGCAACAAGGGCCCCTCGTCCAACATTTACAGAGGCAACAATATCAACCCCCCTACTAGTCTGCTGAACAGCTAGATTATATTTTCTGCCTTTCACTTGCGAAAAGGGACTTAGACGAATTCTATGAGCCTCGGGCGAAAATAAGAAAATAGCGTTTCTTTTTTATATTTCTTTTCAATTTATTACCCGTTGCCAGAAAATAATTTCTGTATATTTATGACAGAATTTCTTATCTGTATAAATTTTAATCTATGATTTTAAATTGTTTTATAATAATTTGTAATACTTCAAACTTATGTTTCCAGACTTTGCTTATTATTCGTCTTTGATTTTACAATTTGACAGTTCTGACGTTACAAAACGCCACCCTTTTCTCATTTGAACGCATTCTACCAAATATTAATCTAAAGTTGTACTAGTAGGAATTTATACCAAGACTACACATGTATATTTACTTTAAAATAGGTAAAAATAAATGTATCTATTTAGTGTATGTAAAATATGAATATAGATCTTTTTACAATAGATTTTTGAACAAATGTGTTTGAAATTGTAAACTTTGGTAGAATCTTTGAAACAGTTAAGTTACCTTTTGAATGTTACATCTATAGTCTTGGTGTGGTTAAGGTTCTATTGTGACAGAGAAAGAAGGTCGCTAGTCTTTTTCACGACGTAACTTGAAAGGGCCTTTACACATAACGTTTTTTTTTATAACAAGTGACATCTGTGTGTTATGTACGTCTGTTGCCATAGAGGTCGTTGGGTTCGTGTCTATTCGTCCCATTGTCATTCAGTGCTTTGAACGAAACCCTTAGACACTGAGTTTAAAAAAAAACGTACTGTACATAGATCTCAAGTTCGTAGGTAATGTTGGACAAAAGGACCAAATACATTTTCGTTATGTCTTGGACCGAGTTTCTATAACATAAGGTCGAAAATTGCATCTCTTAATGCTTAGAAAGTATACCTGTAGTGGCGGACCAACAAACAATCATAGCATTTAACGTAAAAATTGACAAAAAGTTTGTCTTCACGAAAATTGTCTCCATCAGATCTCTTTTTATCGTTTTAAAATGATGAGCAGTAATTCCAAGTATCTGGCATATCTCTACATTAAAATCAACTTTCAGTGTGATATAACAGTGGCAACAGCTAATTTAGTTAAATATTGTTGTTAGGCTAATTAGTAGAACTACACTATAGTTATCATAGCCAGTTTTTGTATTAAAACTATTTTAAGATTATTATTGTTGTTTAAACAATAATAGAAATTACAGTTTACTAATCATAGAGGCAATCCATGAAGATTGTTCAACTCGTTTGTTCAAATATGAGAGAGCCAAGCTTTTATACGAATGCGTTGTATATCGCCGTATGAGTCAGGTTACTCTCCCCCTATCCATCCCCAATCCTTAAAAGGCGAGCAACGCACTCTTAACTTGCGGGTGTTTACGAGCGGCGCTGATTGCTTTCCATCAGGTAATCCGACTTATCCCATAAAAAAAGTAGTGACTATTGCCTACTTTTTTTATGGGATACCTTATATTATTATTAACTGCTGGTATCCCTGTGTCGGTCAGTAACTTGACACATTAGTCGAGCAACCTCCTAGAACAGTTACGTGAGTAAGCTGTTTTGTCTAAATTATTTCACATGATAGACTTGTTAATTTTAATTTCATTATAAATTAATATAATTATGAGTAAATAGGCACAGTCACATTACTTCATGTAATAAAAATAATTTTCGTACGCATTTTCATATACGTGTTCATCATTTTTTAAACTATAGTGTAGTTCTATCATTATCGACATAAAAATATTTTCATAGACGAACACAGGACGAGTGTGACGAGAAACATTTTTAATATTATTTCATCAAATTATGTAAAAACACTATAATGTTGCATTATATCAATCGAATTGTAGGAAACATTACAATTGTATTTATTTCTAATTAATAATTTTAAATGGTCTTAATTTATGAGTTCCTAAGTTTGTCAATATATTTTTGAAAACTTGTCCTTACGGGAGCGGCTTTTGTATATTTGAATTAAGAACAAGAATGTATTATGTATGCTACAAAGCAAATTGGATGTATCTTTTTTACTACATCCTAGTACAATTATATATAAACTCAAAAGCATGAGTTAACATGTAAATAATTTATGTTTAATATAAGGATAATTTAGACTATATAATGTTTGTTTTATTTAAAAATTATTGAGTACCTTCCTCCAAAAAACTTCCTTGACCTAGGGACCTATGGGGGAATTGTTCTATCGATCAATTTCAAGCTCCGGTGCTGCTCGCACGACCCCTCTTTAGGGTATATATGTTCTGTGCGTTAGACAAAGTAAGCCTATCCTTTGACCAATCGGGTGGGCAGGGTATAATACCATCTTACATAGTTGCGTTTGCGATGTAAAATCTGCTATACAACACTTATTTATGAAATAGCTAGCTGACTTCGCAAACTCCTTGACGCCTCAAATTTCAGTCGCAATGTATAATAATGATGTATATCATCATACATGATATACCTACATCATATATAATGCATCCTGACATGAAAAAATGTGTAACTGAAGAGTAAAATCACTTTGCATGAAACGAAACGCAGTTGTTTTGTTTACATGTCATATGTCAGATGATTGTCATTTATCTGTTTGGTTATGTTGTGGTAAACACGCAATTTTACAAGCATTTTGATAAAATGTTTAATCATATTAAAGTTTCTAGAACTAGTATTATAAAATCCTTTATAAATGGACATTCCTGCGAATGTATAAGTAGAAAAATACATAATGTAGGTCTAAACGATATACCGAAGATCACAACAACAGACATTCGAAAGTTATTACGACAAAAAGGTCTAGCTGTACAGGATGGGTTTACGGCACTCACTACCAAATGTTCTATTTGCTCTGGAGATCAGAAATGTGGAGACAGCAAAGTATATGTCAACAAAACTACTGGTTAGTAAGATTGTAAACATAACCTAATAAAACATAGAAGACTCCAGTCAAACAAATTGTTAAAACATCAACTGTCTTAACGCTAAATTTTAATAAAAAAATGTAGAATTTCCCCAATAAATAATATAGAAAATTATGTATTCTTTTAACACCCACTTAACTATTCAAATCAGAAGAAAGAAATATTGTGATAGCATAAAATAAAATATATACCTATGTATACATATAAGATGGAAAAATTGTAATTTGTTAGTTTGTATGTGGAGGATAATCTTTGGAACCGCTGGTCGAATTTCCAAATTTATTTCACTATTATTAGCTACAATGCTGCGTTCACCTATGCGCCGTATGGTTGACACATATAACGTTACCTTTGTTGACATAGATATATTTAATTGCAACATAAATAAGTTCAAAAGCCTCCTTCTCAGTTCCCTATTTAATACTCAAACTACTTTATTACAGTAATTTCTTCCACTATCTGTCTAGTATCTTTAAACATTCTAACTATTTGTTACGCGCACAGCTATCAATGTTCCTAGCGTTTATAACTCGTTTTTTTTTTAAATTTGTATGTCTACCTGTGGACAGCGTTGTGGGTTACATTATGACCACATCACAAAATTGTTAAACTAGTTGTAAGTCTTTATAATGTATCTGTTTGCTGTTCCTCAAAATAAATAAAATAAAAATAAAATAAAACAATGTTCCTGAGTGCTATAAAACATCACACTACAATCAAATGGAGCTAGGTAATGAGTAACTACTCTACTAGTTAGTTAGTCTGTACTAAGATTTCAAATTATTTTTCAGGGTATTTTGTTTGTCCCAAATGCAATGTACATGGGGATTGGAATATACTTGAAAGACTAGTCAAAAAGGCAAAGATTGAAGCAACTGTAAAAGATTTTATTGAAAAATGTCAAAAACAATCTGAAGAATTTAAAAATGATTGGCAGAAATTAATCAAAGACACAGTATCCTTATCACAATTGAATGAAACACAATTACTTGATCTATTTAGATTATTTGAATTCCCAGTAAGTATTTTATTTTCTTCTGTTATTATTTTATTGATATTCTGTTTTCATCAAATGATTGCTCCAGCAGCTGAATAGGGCGAGAGGGAGTGTCAGACTCTTTTTTTTGAGAGTCTGACACTGATTTTCTACTCTGTAACAGATTATTTTCTAGTCAGTCTTACCTTTGGGTACAGAACCCTCAGAAATATTTAAATCAATTTATCTATACTAATCTATACTTCTATACTAATATTATAAAGAGGTAAAATTTGTAAGTTTGTATGTAGTGGGTAATCTTTGGAACCACTGGTCGGATTGCCAAAATTCTTTCACTGATAGATAGCTACAATGTTCCCCAGTGCTATAGGCTAAAATATCACGCTGCGATCAAATGGAGCTGAGCAGCGGGTGAAATCGCGCGAGAGTAGCTAGTATAATATATAATATAAAAAAACCTTATTTCAGTTCCATCCTGAAGCCAATAAAGTATTATCAGAAGTGAGAGTGTCATCTGACCATACAGTATTATATTTTCCTTTAAAAAACTCACTAGACCATGTGGTAGGTTATCGAAAAGTCCAAGCTGGGAGAGAGGATGAGACTGAGACCCATGGGCTACACACAGCAGGACTTTTCTCATGTAGAGTGCCGAAGGTTAGCCGTAGTGATCAAGCAATACTCGTACCTACCATACAAGATGTATTACATTTAGCTGCACAAAAAATTCCAGGTAAATATTTTTATGATTAAGTACTTACTAATGATAGTCTGACTTTTCTATGGAAAAGGACGGAACATGTTAAAAATTTCAGGTTGAGGAAGTTAGGAGAACTGGTTGTTGGGTTATTCTATTGACTCACACACAAGTTTATTTTTTGTTGTGTGCGAGAACACCTGTTATTATGCAATGTTTCCTGTTTTTTTTTTTTGTTAATGATCAAAATATGACTGCACTGTTGGCGCGGTGGTTAGACAACTGGCTGCCGCACAACGTGCCGCGGGTTCGATTCCCGCACGGAACAACTCTTTGTGTGGTCTACAAATTGTTGTTCGGGGTCTGGGTGTGCATATGAAATTGTAGGTTTATAAACGCACCCACGACACAGGGGAAAATACTAACGTGGGGCAAAGCTTAAAAAAAACGATTTAATAAAATACTATACGTTAAATTAGATTGAACAAAAATTTTTGGATACACAGAGAGTTGTTCTGTGTGAAAATTGGGCCCGTAACACGATGCGCAGCAGCCATCCATTGCACCAACCGCACATTCATATTAGATTTATCTAACTATTCTAGGAGCTCTTGTCTGGCTGAGTAACTGCAGCTTACCGCCCATCGTACTGCCAACTCTAGAATCATTCCAAAAGCTTTGTCTATGGGGAGACTGGGACAACATGCGCGCCGTCGCTGAGAAACTAGGTGAAGAAAGATGTCGATTCGTCAGGTAAGATATTATTGACTGTTATTCACCTTTTCACCACCACATTCACAATAATCATCATACTCCAGTGTCCCGTGTACATTATTTTACCTTAGCCTTACTCTACTTTTTCAACGATACGAAAACCACATTCTCTAGCATAACTTTATTCGTGCTATCCTATATGCTCCACTTCAATAGGTAGTGTGTTGGAGAGTGCCTTGTTTGAGGGTTCGAAATCATCAAATGACTTCTCCCGCCGAAGGTCAAGCGAGAGGGAGTGTCAGACTCTTACTGACTAAAAACGCCTGCACCTGTAATACCAACCGCCGTCCCTGAACAACTACCATAAAGCGTGCATGTGGGAGAGCCATGCTTCGGCTTAAATGGGTCGGTAGTAATAACACGGCCTCTTAATAAAACCGGCGTGACACAACCACAATGTTGTGTTTCGCTGTGTGAGTGAGTTTACCGGAGGCCCAATCTTTCCCCTCTTTCAATGCATCCTCAATGCCTAAATACCCAAAACCCTAACCCCAAAAGGTCAGCAACGCACTCGTAACTCCTCCGTTGTTGCGGATGTCCATGGACGGCGGTGATTACTTAACATAAGGTAATCCATTTGCTCGTTGACAGACCTATGACGTAAAAAATACAATCCGAAATCACTATAATTCAACCAAATTTTTTCTCAATATGTCTGGGACATTATTTGGTAATATTTATTTTGTTAGGCCTACAGATGGTCTAGTGACGGCCTCAGAGGCGGCGGCAGCAGATCTCCCGCTCAAGTCGTTAGTGGCTGAGGCCAAACCCGCGGCACATCGGTCCATCACCACATTTGCAGCACTGAGAGACGATGTCTACTTCGAAGTGACCAATGTCGACCGGGTAAGTTTAAATATTCTAGACTATAAGCGTCTACAATTGGTAAATCTATAGTTTGGGAACATTCAATGTAACTTTTTTGTGGGAATATGACAAGAAATTCGTCTGTCGTAATCATCATCATCATCATCATGAGCCTATAAGTGCTCACTGCTGAGTAAAAAAGGTA